ATGTCTTCGTCAGGGATCGCACATACTCGATAACGATATGCTGAGATCACAAGTTGACGAGATTTTTACAGAGTTTGTGGTTCCGTCAGCATCAATAAGTGTGTCAATACTGAAAAGTTACATTAGTGTAACAGTGCTTATTTGTACTTTATTTGCTTTAATTAATAAATCAAAAAGGAGATAGGTATGAATATAGTTTGTGAATCCAAGTCTGATCATTTTTGGGTTATTCATTAATTTGCTCAGAGTGACTGATTATTTACCGCCCAAATAAAATAAATACAAATGACTGTTTAGTAGATATAACCCCAATGAAAACAGGGCATGCATTCAGGGACATTATAGGCAGGCACCCAAACCACTTCATTGTCTGTGTGCCATGTCTTCCCCCCTCCTGTTTTAACCCATTTTAACTTCTGTTAAATAGCTGCACAAAATTACTCTATTCCATCAAATGGACCACCTGATTGACGCAAAGTGGTGCTTTGAGAACATGCGCACATTCCTAACTTTGTAGTGTTCAGTTCCTTTAATTATGCATTTTTCCCATTGTGGGCATATCTAAAAGCAGCTTGTAAAAGCTGCAGATCTCTAGTCTGCAGCCGTAAAGATCCCTCCCGTTCTAACCCCGCCCAGGATTTATGTGGCTGTCCAATCACAGACTTCCAATGCAACGCAATGAGAAGTTTTTGCAAGGCAGGTGCTCTGGGAAATTGCTGCCTTTTGAGTTTAACTCAACTGAGTTAACCAAACCAGGAAGTAACAGGACCGGTTCATAGAAGTTTTTTTGTTTTTTAATTTTTTTTTATTGTTTATTTGTTTAATTTGGGCAGCCGAGTGTCCTTTTATCTAGGCATGGTTTGGTAAAGCTTTTGTTCTGTAGCCATTTCTGTCTGCTATTTCAAGTCAAACGGCATTTAACATTTTCCCTTATAAAAAGACTGAGATTTTTCCCTCGCCTTACCCAGCAGCCCAGTTACGGCCACACATGGAAGCCGCAGTTTATTTTAAAGCCACTCCGCGCTCTTGTGGTCAGCATTTTACAGCTCTAAATGAAATAAAAACCAGACCTAGTGCAATCATTGCTGAGTACTACAATATTCCCATCTTTATACGAAGCTTGAGCTTTTAAAAGACAACAAGGATGGAGAGGCACAGCTTTAAGTGCCAGAATTTGGAAACTACAATTCCCATGATCCACCAAGAGCCACACATTAATTATCTTGACCTCGCTATACCTACAGAGCGGTAATTAGAGTGCATGCGACATCTGGGAGGGCGCCAAATGCAGTGCTGCCCAATACTTATTAAATCAATATCAGGATGGAGATCTGTGTCGTGGGAGCCTCGGATCCCACAGCACTGTACGGAGCCTCGCACAATCCACACAACACCCGCAAAACTGCCACAGCCACATTGTTTCTACAAAAAACCCTCAGTTAATCACAGTCTATGTGGAGGAGCATTGAAATCACACAATATGTGATATATATGTAAGGCAAGCACTAAACATGGCCACAGATACACATTTAACACAATTATTACACGCAACCAGTAACTGAGTCAACTGATATCTAATTGTGATACTCATGCATAATCAATAAACTCAGTTTGTGTGTGAGACTCAGCAAAGGAAGCAGATTGTGGCCAGATTAAATAGACAGAAAGCGAGCCACATACATGGCACAAAACGTATCTAAAAATCAGTAAAACAATTGTCTCTGTGCCGCTACTTGAACCATTCTCCAAAATGATGAACACTGGATTGAAGATAGACAGCAATTTAGCAAAGATCAGTTCAGAGACATACTTATCCATACACATACTTTACAAACCCTTTAAATACTGCTTTATTTGAGAATTAAAGGAACACTCCAAGAGTCACAGCCACTGCAGTGCAGCCTGGCACTCCCTTGTTCAAGAGTCAAACTGCATTAGAATGCTTTAACTTCTTACCCACCACCATTACCACTGCAGTGCAGCATTTGTCCTCAGCCAATGTGTTAACCGGACACGGCAGGGTTTAGCTCAGGAGAGCAAATAGATGCTTCTAAACAATATCTTCCAGCTCTCAAGCAGTGGTAGTGGAGGCAGGGAGCGGCAACTGGCAGATTGCTTGCAAGAAATCAAACCGTAATCAGTTTTATTACTTCCAATGGTAGGGTGCCAGGCCTGTCATGACACCACAACCACTACAGCACTGCAGTGTTGTGGTTGGAGTGTTCGTTAAAAAAAAGTAAAAATAAAAAAATAATGGCTTATTAGGAAGACATCTACAACTGCTATAATCACAACTATATATATAGTTAATACAATATTAAACAAAAGCCTGCATACCAGTCAAGCCATAAGACTTGCTTTTCCCACAGAAATCCAAATAGGTTATGGTGGGGAAAAATTTGTTTAACATTGTATTAACTGTCCACGGACTTCAGGTGGAAGGGGTTTTCAATCACAGTTTTTTCCCCACCATAACCTTTTTGGTTTTTGCAATAAAGATAGATAGATAAACTTTGACATTAAATCTCATCTAATAACTAATAATTTAATAATAAATATAATAATCTAATACTAGACCCCCGGAGAACACTCCTATCCAAACCGACCGAGGGACTCACCCGACCAGAGCAACAACTACTCAACATGATAAACCTAGCGGCCCGAAGGGCCTTGGCAAAGAAATAGTCTGCAACACGGCCAAAAGATTTGGTAGGGTATGGGATCTCTGGGAGCAGTATTTGGAGGAAACAGGGAGATAGCCGGTGGAGGAGCCCCGGGGGGGGGAGGGAGTACCGGGGGTTACCACGCAGGTCCCACCCCGCGCCATGGGATTGACTTGGCCCGTGGGTCAAAGAGCGGATTAACTGGAAAAAGAGCTCACTGATGCACGGGGTGATGGTTCAGGCAGATAGACCCAAAAAGTGCTCGGTTGCATAAAGAAAGAGAGCCAAGCCATGATTTGCCCACTCGGGCGAACACAGCCGCATCCTTCACAACCAAAGCAACCATATGTTATTATGTTATGTTATGTTACGTAATAAAAAATACAAAAAATCTGACAAACACGAAGTGGCACCTGTAGCCAGCACAGGTTCTTCTATGATTCCAACTTGTAGACTCCCTTCCTGTATTACATGCATTCTTGTTTATTGGACAAACTACAGTGCAAAAAATGACAAACCTGTAAACCTGTTTTGACAGTCACAGCAAAAATAAAGACAAGGTACATGTTAATCCAGAACGTTGACCATCACACTTCAAGCCCCCCTAGTCTGTAGTATTAGACCATCTAACCAGCTATTTATTCGGAGATTTTGAAGACATAACACTTCAGTTAAAATGTATTTTCTCTGAAAAAGATTCCTGGCCAGGTTTCAACTTTTCTTATATCTTTTCAAACATCCTTCCAAAAGTCCTAATATAACAATTTAAATGCCCAGTTTAATATTGGTCAGAAATTGTCTTTTGGAAGCAAACATTTGGTAGAAGACGACATGCTGCGCTTGGGTTTTAAAATGATTATTATATTATTATAGAAAGCTTTTGTTGCTTAAAATTAAGCTTGATTCGATATTGCCAGTAAATTATATAGTGTTCCTAAAATAGATCTGCCAAACCTAAAATTGTGTGAAAAAAATCCAATATTTTATTGTATCTATTATTACAATTATTTATATTTACTATGATTTAAATCATAAAAATTATTTTTGTCAGAGTGGTTATAAAATTAGCATTACTATAAAAAATGCACACAATTTGTTAAGAGCAGCTGGCGGATGGACACGAAAAGGTTAGCTGAAAGAAACTGAAAATAAATTTAAAAAAAACGTTATTTTAACACACTATAAATGTATGTATATATAAAATATATGTGAAGCCTCAATGTTAAAGGAATACTGGCATGCATAATGTAGATAGTGGTGAGTTAGTGTGCAGTTTATTAAATCACTACTATCTGCAATTATGCTTCAACCTCAAAAGTTGCCCTTTGGGTATCTTACTAAGCCACGGGGAGTAATGCCCACTATTGTACATAATGTATCCATTCACGTCCACGTTTTTAAAACGAGCCAGTGTAATTATCTTTTTTAATGTGGTTTTAATGATTGGGAGGAAGTAATTTGCTTGGTTGCCCGATATGATATTGAAATAATGAAGCATAAGAGCTTCATTTGCATACTTTACTTGACGGCTGGAAGTGTATCGATAGGATCTGTGGCGGAACCAGCCTCGCCACTGTCCACTGGAGAAGCCTGGTTGCTCGCCTGCTCCCTTTAGACTATGGCCCTGCATTTAAAACCTTTTATTTTCCCTGCAGAAAGGCGTATTAGTGCCTTTCTGCCGGGGTGGTCGGTAGATTCAATCTACTGAACAAAGTACCGAACGATCGACCACCTGGGAACTGGAGTGTGCCGTCAATTGACCACCCAGAAGCTGCGGTTAACCGCAGCTTAATTGACGAACGCTGGGTGGCCTTTGTTCGTTTGCCGAACACGTGGCAGTGGCCATTTTAACTCCCGAATGGCCAGCGGTGTTCAGCGCCCAAACTATGAAACTGGAAACGGACACTTATTTGCCCGAACACCGCTGAGCCGCCAGCCTCCTTACCTCTGCATTCGGTAGTGGAACTGAATTACTGTTCATTCGGTAGTTTGACCGTATGAACAGCATCACCCCAGATAGCTATGCCATGGAGCCTATTCGTGTAACGAAAAACTATGGAAAAGACTTTGGCTCCATGGCAATTGAACTGTATGTATGTGAGCTGAGCGCCATTCGGTAATAATGTGCGCTCAGATCTAAGCTATCTGGGGATATGTAGAATGTGTGTGTTTTATGTGATAAAGGTAACCGTATGTAATTTTATGTCTTTTTACTGAAAATGTGTGTAATGGAGTTTTGCCTCTGTCCTTGGAGATAATTGGATTACTTCCCAATTATCTCCAGGCTGGAGAGGAGGGATTGTGATGCATTGTGGGATTGTTGAAATGTGTAAATCTGTGATTGGTCCTTTTACCCTTTGTGTCCCAGTCTTCCATCTGGTCCCCTAGGGGAGTGTCCACCAGGTGGGAGACCTGCATAAAAGCCGGGCAGGTAGCCCCAGTAAACCAGATTCTGCTTGACCCTCAAAACGAAATGTCGTCTCGTTCTTGGGGGGAATTGGATTGTATGCTGATTGCCAGGAGTGTAAGCTGATTGTATGCTTTTCCTGTTCGGCTGTTTCCAGTATTCGTGTGTTTCCGGTTCGGGAGTTGGAGGATTCGTGTAGTTTGCAGTTCGGGAGATTGGTGATTGCAGTAGCTGCCTGTGCATCTGGTAAGGGGAATATCGCCTAAATGGTTTTTAACCTTGTGTGCAAAACGGTCCGTTACAATTGGTGGCAAGCGACGGGATCATTCCCATAGCCCAGAAGGACAGCTACAAGACAACACCAGTTCATGGATTCACAAATTGAGAGCAACGCTGGTACCCATACAGCACCCCTATCTACAAAAGAAGCAACTTCAGCAGAGCAAGCATGGCACCCAGCTACACGCAGGAGGAGTTTGACAGAGAGTTTACATCGCGTCTGGCTTTCCATGGACCAACCCCCCCGGAAAGATCACTGCAGCTCGTGAGGAGACACGTGGAAGAGTACCTGCAGGTCAAAGCAGAGCGGGCACGTGAGTTGGCACGTTGGGAGAGACCCCAGCGGCCGAGCAAGTTACAGAGAGAGAAGCATGTCATCGTTCCTCCCCAGCGGCAGTGCGACAGCTACACTCAGGAGGAGTTTGACAGAGAGCTGAGATCGCGGCTGGCTTTCTATGGACCCAACCCCCCGGAGAGATCCGTGCAGCTCGTGAGGAGACACGTGGAAGAGTACCTGCAGGTCAAAGCAGAGCGGGCACGTGAGTTGGCAGGTTGGGAGAGACCCCAGCGGCCGAGCAAGTTACAGGGAGAGATGCGTGTTGTCCTTTCTCCCCAGCTGCAGTATGTATCCCAGGGAGCTGAAGGTGTTGTCCTTCCTCCCCAGCAGCGGTGTGTGTTCTTAAGAGAGGAGACAGGTGGTCCCTCTCCCCAGCAGTCAAGTGAGTCCCAGGGCGCTGAAAGTGCCGTCCTTCCTCCCAAGCGGCAGTGTGAGTCCCAGGGAGCCGAAGGTGCCGTCCTTCCTCCCCAACAGCAGTGTGTTCGGCAGAGAGCAGAGACAGTCAGCCTCGCTCCCTAGCAGCGGGACAATAAGGGAGAGGAGTGTAAGGGAGAGGAGCTTGTTACCCCCTCTCCCCAGCGGCAGCGTAGCCCACCAAGGGGAGACATTAAGCTCCCCACCGACGCAGATGGGACCGTGGTCTCTGCGCCCAACCTACAGGGAGTACGGACAGTCGGTCCTGCTCCCCAGTGGCAGAGTATTCTACCGGGAGGGGAGAGCCTCGTTCCACCTCCACAGCGGCAGCCTAGCCCACCAAGGGGAGATGATAAGCCCCACACCGGTGCAGATGGGACCGTGGTCTCTGTGCCCAAACCACAGGGGGTAGGGATGGCCGGTCCTGTCCCCCAGCAGCAGGGCTGTTTATCCAAAGGGGAGACAGCCTGTCTTCCCCTCCAGCAACAACACCAGGTCCAGGGCGAGGAGCCTACTACCCCTTCTCCTCAGTTGGGCTCCAACTAGGCTACTCCCATGGTAGCGCTGGCACCAGGGCAGAGTACCGCTGGTCTCTGCCCACTCAGCAACCCACCGATCCAGAGGGCTAGTAAACCCCAGAGCCGTGGTGGAGCCCCTGGACATGGACAAGCTACCCACTACCCCAGGTGCAGTAACCAAATTTTGTGGGTGGGCCGCTCTGTTGATTATGTGTTGTGGGTTGGTTGCTGGACTAACCAGGGCACTGACCGACAGGAGGTCAGATACCCTGTTAGTCTGGATGGTAAAGGGGAGAAATGTGGCAGAACCAGCCTCGCCACTGTCCACTGGAGAAGCCTGGTTGCTCGCCTGCTCCCTTTAGACTATGGCCCGGCATTTAAAACCTTTTATTTTCCCTGCAGAAAGGCGTATTCATGCCTTTCTGCCGGGGTGGTCGGTAGATTCAATCTACCTAACAAAGTACCGAACGATCGACCACCTCGGAACTGAAGTGTGCCGTCAATTGAACGCCCACGTTTGCCGAACACGTGGCAGCGCCCATTTTAACTCCCGAATGGCCAGTGGTGTTCAGCGCCCAAACTATGGAACTGGAAACGGACACTTATTTGCGCGAACACCGCTGAGCCGCCAGCCTCCTTACCTCTGCATTTGGTAGTGGAACCGAATGACTGTTCATTCGGTAGTTTGACCGTATGAACAGCATCACCCCAGATAGCTATGCCATGGAGCCTATTCGTGTAACGAAAGACTATGGAAAAGACTTTGGCTCCATGGCAATTGAACTGTATGTATGTGATCTGAGCGCCAATTCGGTAATAATGTGCGCTCAGATCTAAGCTATCTGGGGAATGTGTGTTTTATGTGATAAAGGTAACCGTATGTAATTTTATGTCTTTTTACTGAAAATGTGTGTAATGGAGTTTTGCCTCTGTCCTTGGAGATAATTGGATTACTTCCCAATTATCTCCAGGCCGGACAGGAGGGATTGTGATGCATTGTGGGATTGTTGAAATGTGTAAATCTGTAATTGGTCCTTTTACCCTTTGTGTCCCAGTCTTCCATCTGGTCCCCTAGGGGAGTGTCCACCAGGTGGGAGACCTGCATAAAAGCCGGGCAGGTAGCCCCAGTAAACCAGATTCTGCTTGATCCTCAAAACGAAGTATCGTCTCGCTCTTGGGGGGAATTGGATTGTATGCTGATTGCCAGGAGTGTAAGCTGCTTGTATGCTTTTCCTGTTCGGCTGTTTCCAGTTTCCAGTTCGGGAGTTGGAGGATTCGTGTAGTTTGCAGCTCGGGAGATTGGTGCTTGCAGTAGCTGTCCGTGCATCTGGAAAGGGGAATATCGCCTAAACGGTTTTTAACCTCTTGTGTGAAAAACGGTCTGTTACAGGATCCTACGCACACCAAAAGCTGATCCTCCCTCAGCTGGATAGTTCAGAGTGGTGCTCTAACCACTCTGTGTTTGTAAGTGCTTTTCCTTACATTAGCCTTATTAACCCCTTAAGGACACATGACAGGTGTGACATGTCATGATTCCCTTTTATTCCAGAAATTTGGTCCTTAAGGGGTAAAATATTTATGCTTTCTAGACAATTTGTTTCTGTTTGGTTTTATCTCCTAGATTTGTTTATTGCGTTTATTGTGCAAGTATAATACTGTGTGCTAACGTCTGAGGGTGGCACAATCATCACTATATATTGTATTTAGATACACCCATATGACATTACCACCTGGGCACACCTTCACTCAATAGTGAGCACTAGGGGCATTTTAATGAAGTTTTCAAAATTGATATATAAGATTTTATATATTGCCTGGTAGTGATTTAATATACTGCGCACCAACTCACCACTTTCTATATTATCTAAATCTCATTACCAGGATTTTTTGTTGGTTGCTGCAATTTGTACCCACAATTCTTTTTGTTTGTTTTGCGCCACCTTATTTATATACACCTAGGCACGTATAATGTGCCAACAAATGTTGCAGCTCTGTACAGTTGGGGAAAAAAAGAAAGGACAAGATCCATAGAAGACCAAAACAAAATGTAGAGAGTCCTCCTGGCTTCTGGCTAACTATTCTTTAAGAAGCAGCCATTGTAAGTCCTCTTTGGTCAGAACCACAGCTTATCTGACCGACAACCATGCAGATAGTCCAGAGTTAACGTGTGTTCATGAATCCATACATCGTATACGCTTACGGACTGTTTGCTTCAGAGCAATGGAGTGCAATTCTTTGTAGAAACATTTACGACTCACGAAGTAGGAGCTCATTATGTTTATTGTGATTTAATTCATAAGCATTCGCAGAACTGATAAAGAAAAAGACATTAAGACATTTATTTTATTCATTTCCACCGGCTTTTGATGGTATAAAGTGACTGATTTATATATGCGAGATAAAGGTATGAGTAACAGAAAAACTGAGCAAAGTTCTAAAAGTGAACAAATCGTCATAGAGACCAATTAACTAAGCAAGGAAAAATCATCTTCGGTTTCCATGGCGATTATCCTTCTAGAACTCTTAGAAGCCTCTTTACAATTTCTCTCACCAATACAGTGTCCAGTTAGACCACTACCAGTCTACGTAAAGACACGAAGAATTAACTAAACAAAGTGCAAAATGTCTATTAATTGTAAATAATCAGTTAATATAAAATAAGACGCTTGGAACTCGAGTGCAACAAAGTTGTTAATCTGGGGTAATTACCTGGACAGAAGGAATATATGTGTTTAATATATGTCACGCAGGAGAGAATGGTTCATATTGTAAAGCAGCAACATGCTCAGTTTATTAATTATCCGTCACCTTATATATAAAAAAACAAAAACAATTAAGACGTGTTTATTTCTAACTCGTTAAAAGCATTTATCTAACGGCATTCATATGTAAAACACGCTGGAATAGCTATAAAAATATATATATTAAAAAAAAAAAAAAGATCTTTAATATTCTCAAAACTTATAGCAATACTACCTCTATAAGAATTTATATTATTAATTTAATATCAATATAAATCTATATTTAACAATGTACAATTTTGGTATCTGGCTGAAGCTGAGAAATAAGTAAAAAGTTCCTATAATAAGAACTAGAGCGCTCCCTGTGTTGACAGCGACACAAGTTATTTAGATTTTTTTTATAGTGTGCCAGCAGATACCACAGCGCTGTACAAAATACTGTGCGTTTCAAAGAGAAGAAGGCTGATTGCTGGTTTATCCATTCACTTTGAGAAAAGTTTAACATGACAATCTGGTGAAAGAATCAAAATGACGGTTATCATAATCCACATTTGATTAATTGAGAAATAAAATTGGGAACAAATACTTCATGAAACAGTAATTGAGAGTTGCTACTTATTGCATGTAAAGGCGAAATGCAGTCTAACTGCAAAATATTTGCTTTCCATTCTATGAGATATTAGCAAGCATACATGCACCCGGAAAATACTGTAACATTTGAGGGCCTTACAAAAAAAATAAATTTCTTTAACAAATTCTAAAGAGAATATGTAGCATTTGTGAATGGCTCTAATACCACGGGTTCTGCAGCTGTTACCCTCTCTAGGACCCCTTCTAATATAATAGTGGGTATCTGGCAAAGGTCAGACATCTGGGCCATCTGGAAACACCTGAGGTAAACAAGGTTTAGGATGTAGGGTTCTGTGCCCGCTGATTAGGATGTCGGGTTCTGTGCCCGCTGATTAGGATGTTGGGTACTGTGCCCGCTGATTAGGATGTAGGGTTCTGTGCCCGCTGAAAGTCTCCTCTCTGTCCTCCAGTTTTGCTGCAGAGTTTCACCTCTTCAATCACAATGTCATGGGAGACAGCTTTGCACATGTCGTACACGGTTAAACCGGCCACACTGGCAGCAGTAAGAGCTTCCATTTCAACGCCAGTTTTACCATGTGTGCGACACGTGGCTGTGATCTTTACAGCAGATTGTTGCTTGTCCAGTTCCAGAGAAATGTCTACTTGACTCAAAGCTATGTTGTGACAGAGAGGAATGAGCTGGCTGGTGAGCTTAGCTGCCTGTATTCCTGCAATCTGAGCTACAGTCAACACATCGCCTTTCTTTAGCTGGTTAGATTGCACCAAGTCAAAGACCTTTGGACCCAACCGAACCAATGCTGTGGCAACTGCAGTTCGACCTGAGTCAGGCTTCATCCCAACATCCACCATGTTGACCTTTCCATCAGTGTTGACATGTGTTAAGTGTTCCGAGGAACTATGCCATTTGGAATTGTGCGTTTCAGACATATTTATTGTTCTCCTGGCATCTTCATCAGAAGACTTTTGTGTAGTAAGGCACTTGGGCTCACGGAAGTCATTACTGTAATGCCGAGGTTTAAGCACCATATAATTTAAATTGCTTTTTAGACAGCGCAGATATAACAGTCTACTAAATACACTTCTAAATGATCCGTCTCTCGGTTTGGCAATATTAGTATATTTTCTCTGACTACTGGGAAGATATTTTAGGGAATCCTGAAGGGCTCTGGAAGTTCTTATGTGAGCAACTGCAAAATAAGAGAAAATAAACAAACATGAACATTTATTTATTTTTTTAATTCTCTTTTATCTAAAACATCCAGAGTAAACATTTTTAACAATGAATTACAAATCCTATTGCCCTATTCAGCCTACAAGTCAGTGTCCATATCCTTCTTTCTCTACCTGCTAAACTGACCATGTGTCTACACCACTCTTCCATCAATACTGTCCTTATTTCTATCCCTCAATTCCCACTGATACTGTCCATGTTCCCAACCCACTCTCCCCACCAAAACTGTCCATGTTCTCAACCCACTCTCCCCACCAATACTGTCCATGTTCCTAACCCACTCTCCCCACCAATACTGTCCATGTTCCTAACCCACTCTCCCCACCGATACTGTCCATGTTCCCATCCCACTCTCCTCCTTTACACTGTCCATGTTCCCAACCCACTCTCCCCACCGATACTGTCCATGTTCTCAACCTACTCTCCCCACCAATACTGTCCATGTTTCTCCATGTTTCTAACCCACCCTGCCCACCAATACTGTCCATGTTCCTAACCCACTCTCCCCACCAATACTGTCCATGTTCCTAACCCACTCTCCCCACCGATACTGTCCATGTTCCCATCCCACTCTCCTCCTTTACACTGTCCATGTTCCCAACCCACTCTCCCCACCGATACTGTCCATGTTCTCAACCCACTCTCCCCACCAATACTGTCCATGTTTCTCCATGTTTCTAACCCACCCTGCCCACCAATACTGTCCATGTTCCCATCCCACTCTCCCCACCAATACTGTCCATGTTCCCATCCCACTCTCCCCATTTACACTGTCCATGTTCCCATGCCACTCTCCCCATTTACACTGTCCATGTTCTCATGCCTGAAAATATTTGGCTTTATTTAAAAAAATTATAAATAACATATATTTGAATAACATATGGATTTATCTCCTAGGTTGATACGGTTATGGAGACCAACCAGACATAAAGAGATATAGAGAGTATATCCGATATATAGAGAACAAAAGGTTTTATATTTGGAGAACATTCCTATAGGTTTCAGATGATTGCTTATCTATTATACTACTAGTTATACATTACCCCATAGTTACCAAAACAATAAACCCAACATAAACAGCATAAGACCTGAAGATTGATATCAACAACAGATATATTGTGAAATGTGTAATTCTAAAGTGCTGGTACTAATTTAATTATGTGCTTTCAAAGAAATACTTGGATGTTTCTAATAATTGTATAATGATATTACTGAAGATGACAGGTTTATAAATGGATTGTGTAGATTTATAACAGTTGTCAGAGCCCTCATTACAGAATGTCCTAAGATACATCTCTGCTTGCCAAGCATGACAAGAAAACCAGGGACCAATGCCCTTTCAAAACCAGGAAATCTATTGACCTATCACTCACATTCATTGCTGAACTAAAGCAATATTAGGGTCGGTTTTAGGGTCAACAAGCATCTCTTAAAAAAATTAATAAATCAAAAAAAAAAACTAAAATTGCAACCAACCACCTTCCCCCCCACCCCCCCAAAAAAGAAAGAAAAACTGAAAAAACAATCTGGAGAACACATCCACGCTTCCAAAATAGAGACGTGTTTTTTGGCTAAGAGTTCTGTTTGAGTTCTGAACATTTTCCAGCTGAACTAGTTGTGAGTTTATGGGAGCAAGGACCTCCTGTAATACTGTGTGTCATACAATTTTATTGGTTTACTTTTAATCAATCTTCTGTGCTGTTGCAAAGAGAATTTCAAAACCACCCAAAATAAACTTGTACGAAGATTGTTCCACGTCTACGCGGTTTCCTCCAAACACTCTCATTAGCAGCTCAAACCTTCTGTTTTAAAGCAAAGTTCAACTCACGTCTGCACCCAAGTACAACACGTTAACAGATTGCAATGTATTTTCTTACAATGTTTCCATTGCTGTAATCTAGAGATGGGCAGTTTGGCATCATTTAAAACAGATCGTCAACACATCACGCTTATAAAACTGACTGGTGAACTGCAATTTGTTCAGTAGCTTGCTTTTTATGGAGTACCAAGGAGGTTATGTCTAAAAAAAAGTGTAGTGTTCAATTTCTATAATTTTTCTATTATTTTGGTGCTCTACGGGGTCCTGGTGGAAGTTTTAAATGGAAAACTGAAATGTTGATAAAGAAAAAAGTTAAGTTAAGTTAGTTAAGATTTATTTGTATAACATTTTTTAATGTTTCTATCTATCCTTCCATTTTGTTACAACCATACTTGCATCTTGTGTTTATTTCTAAAACTAAAAATTCCATGAAACTGGTAAACAAGTGACGATGATATTTTTTCTGTTTTTATTTATTTTTCTATTTTTTAATATTACATGACGTGACATTCCCCTCTGGATGATGGCTATGGAATGTTGATACCGCCCCCAAAAAATTGGCCACAGTTGTATTGTATCCAAACTACTGTCTTTAATCCAATATCTGGTCTTCATTCCAAAACAGATATTTCACAGAAACTTGTTGTGTGCTGAATAATTTTGCTCTGGCTGCTTCTGGAATGTGCTGTGTATCAGTACATGTGCTTTATATCTTATAATTCAGTTATAAAACCATCACGTGCTTTGCATCCACCAAGCGAGACAGAGAGAAAAAAAATATTCTACAATTTAACAAGAGTTGCATCTTCAAATGATTAGCTGTCGTAACATCAATGAATAGAAATTAGGAAAGCCTCGAAAGGTTAGTTATACCAAAAAATACAAGGTGTCGGAGGCCTAGACTTGTATTGTATTAACAATATTACATCGAGTGGCTTTCTGTCTTTATTTTGGATTTGTTCCAATCAGAAGATAAGTGCAAGTCTGTATTTCTGTTAAGTCTTTTAATACACGACATTTGAAAAAAGAGGGGGAAAAAATGATATGTTCATATATATCGATATTTATCATGACGCAAACTGTATTTACAATTCAAAAATTTAATGAAATCACTTAAAAGATAAAGTGAGTGCCCTTAAAATGTAACTTTTATTAGTAATAGTAAAATTAGGGTCTGAATATCCTAAATAGGAATACTATTCATAAATAAAAATGTATACAAAGATATTTACAATCCATTAAACATAGGTTGTAAACCAACGTATTAGCAATCTCTTGTAAATGACCTATTTATAATGAAATATGTAAATATTGGACCACTATAAAAATAATGGTCAAATTCCCAGGTTGAAATAGGTCATAATAGAAATCTAAATAAATAAATAAACTAAAGTATATACCGAAAAATATGAGGTGAACATGATAATTACTGAGAGTGTATAATCGTAATGAGGTTCTGTTCAAAAGTTTTCAGAAACCTTCATCCAGTAATGCATGCCAAACGAAGTTTTGCAATTCACATGAGCTATATACATTAGAATCACTATATTGTAGCAGGTTTGTTGTCTAGATACAAAGTAACCAAGCTGCAGCATAACAAAGGATCTTGTAACAAATCTCCAAATAGAGCTGAACAAGTAGCGTGCCTTGTGCCATGTGAAATGATCAATTTGCATGGGCTATATACGGTATTGACTCTGCATTATAGCAGGTATGTTTGTCAAAATGCAGGGTATCCTAGCTGCAACATACAAAAGGAAGGAATATGATAGCAAAACTTTGATCGTAGTGATCTGTGTGCCAAGCCATATGGGACGCTGCACCAACGCTCTGATAGTTAGTATACTATATATCCGATCCCTGCTACAAAAAGCTTTTATGCTTAATTAATTAGCACAAGTGAATAAATACTTAACCGCTCAGGCTATTGATATAAAGAAATTGTTAATATCACAAAAAAATCAGAGAGGAGGACAGAGAATCTAATCCTCAATAGATATAATATTTTAGTGCTGCCTGAAGCATAAGTGGTTAAGCCAACTCGGGGTCGAGAAACAGAAAGAGTATCTGGTCTTAATGGAATATTGAATGAAAATGAAGTCTCAAGACCACCGAGTTCCCCTGACACGCGCGTTTCGCACACAACTCTTCAGGTAGCACTAAAATATTATATCTATTGAGGATTAGATTCTCTGTCCTCCTCTCTGATTTTTTGTGATATTAACAATTTCTAGAAGTCTAAAAAAACTCTCATTAATACTTTATTGTTTCATTTTATCCATCTCTGGAACCCTGAACACCTAATGGTGTTTGTAATAATAGAGACTATATGGTTACTAACACCAAATACTCATAAGGGGTAACAAGTGTAACCCACAGAGATATAATATAGGTGAATGTATATGAGATGGAGGATACAGGCTCTACGAAGAAACAGGTTTGCTGAATGAAAATTCCCTGTTTAGTGAACAGAGCTATTTATTAGCAGACTCAATTCACAGTTTAGTGGATAGAGCTAAAATAAACTGATGTACAAAAGCAATATACCTGCATTCTTACACGTTTGACATATTCTAGGATATCAGCCCACTGCCATAGATGCATTTATGCTGCTATACTGCTGCCGTCAGTCTCTAATACCATAAAAGAACTCGACCCACAGCCCAAACGAGCCCAAATGAGCATGTGTGGAGGAGAATGAAGCAAACTGTAGAAACCTAGTATATATAAAATATTGCAGATTCATATCATAGTGGGGCTACAAGAGGGGTACAGGAAGAATGGGGACTGTCGTATTATTACACTATTGTCATTCAATTCCTCATACACTCAAGGGAAAAACCGTAACACTCCGCCCAAGAGCTATTTGCAGGTTAATGAAACAGAAGGTAATAATCTAGTTTAGAAGTAATGTAGCCGATAAGAATCATAGTGGAAAAAATATCCAACTGTCCCTAGCACAAAGGGTACAGAGAGATAGAGCCCTTTAAACTTAGTGGAGGGTAAATAAATGGCTGTCCTAGTATCCTGATTAATATCCATGAGGCCACGACATGGATCCCAGATAACTCGCTCAACAGGCCAGCACTTAGGTCCTTCCATCAGCCTGAACGCCTCACATATAAATTCTGTCCAAGTGATGCGGACATCATCCTAAATTGTGAACTCTTAAAGTGAGAATATAGTAACCCTAAGCTGTATTCTTGTAGGGTCAGTTGTTTCACTTTGTAGCGTAGCTCACACCACTAGAATGTATGATAAGAAAATCAAACTCCAGTTTCAAGTAATAGCCAGGAGACTAGGAACGTAAATTATTCCTCGTTATAGCCTGGTAGGTCAGATGAGAGACACTGTGGTCATCATCAAGATTTATAGGCACAGAAATTATGCAAACGAATCATGAAAAAATAAATCTATTTCACCAACTTTTAAACCACATCAGTAGTTGAAGTCTATTAATGTTTGAAGCCCAATCAGAAACTCTAGAGTACACTCATTCACGCTCACTAGCAGAACACAGAAGGCTGTGGAAAGGAAGATAGTAAAATATTGAGTCCTTGATGAAGGAACCTGGTGACATTGAATATTTAAATCACTTTGTAATGGAACGAAAATGAACACAACAAAAAACACAAATACGATAAACAATCTGTGAAAACATACAAACAGTGCACTGTACGTACTGCTTTGGTCACCCACCAATCAGGATCATCGGTCGGTTCTTCATCTGTGAGATGTTGAACATACCTGAGAATTAAAGCAGAAATTGGGCGTATTAAATCAGGAAAGAGATCCTTTTATTCATAGAAATTACTTACATTTAAAAATCTATCCAGTTTAGATTTGTTAATGGTGCAGCCAGTGATAGCTGTCTGTTTATATATATATATACATACAATATGTACCTAACATTTCTACAACGTACTTGTTTTGGTGTTCGCAAACGCATCCTGCAATCTTGTTATATTTATTTCCAGATTTATGAAATGTTGGCCATTGATTTTCTTAGTTTAACCTAAGCATTCTAAATATTTAGTGTTTCAAAATAGCAAATCAGAGTTCAGTAGGGACAAAGGCTTTAAAAGGGACATTCCAATACAAATACAAAATACATGTAAACACATTATATGTAAATCTCTAGTATCCCAATGAAAACATTTAATTATGCATGTTTTCCTAGGGGATATATCTTAAAACAGCTTGCAAAAGATGCAGTTCTCTTGTCTGCAGCCTTTGCAAGCCCTCCCCTTCTTACCCTGCCCAGATGTTTTGTGGCTATCCAATCACAGACTTTCCAACATAGCTCAGTGAGAAGCCTTTGAAAGGCAGGTGCTCTGGGCAGTTGCTACCTCTTGTCATGAGGAATAACCGCAACATGCAGAGTTTAGGATAACAGTAACAGACTGGATGGAAATGGATACATTTCCTGTCCTTAGAGTGGCCGGTTTAAGATAGAGTGGAAACATAGTCAAATACAAGTCTAGCTCCGATAAAAGAGAGAGACAGTGAAAATGAGAACAAGCAGAGTCAGGTAAATGTTATATCAATAGAACAGGTAAACCAGTCAGAAAAGTGTTACAAAGAAACTCAAGGTCAGGAACAAAGCCAAGGTCAATACCAGAAATATCACAATGTAACAAGAAACACTAAAGGGTACTGAGAACAGAAACCATGATAGGGCACAGTAAATGGGGCCAGATGAGTTTCAATTACGTGTGATTTTTCTTTACCACGTCATGCCTGGGATCCCAGAACGGGGACACCAGACTGACGTGGATCAACCTGAGCCGGAAATTCTGTTACATCCCCTGTGTGTCTTTAAGAACCTGCTCCAAATGCTAGAAGAATTCTCAATGCTGCATATTGGGCCGTGAGAACAGTTATTGTGTGCAGCGCTCTCAGCCCGTTCAGAGGTTCCCGATCCTAAGTAACTATCATTACACCTTTAGAGTTTAGCTCCACTGAGCTAACCAATCCAAGAAGGGACAGTACCAGCTGTCTGATTGACAATCAGCGGGATTTAACAACGTTAATTTAGAATTGTGTCAATTTCTATTGAAAACAGCTCGTTTGAAGTGGCCCTTTTACCCAGACAACCACGATGCCACAATATCAGTTCATGCAATGGAACAAGTGTACCAAATATAAAAAAATAAAATAAAAAACACAGAAAAAAAATGAATAAAAACATTTGTAACAATTCCAAAAAAAAAAGTATTTGGTTCTTAAGTTGCCTTATAAGGGGGTAAAACTAATGGTCAAACGAATGTTAACCTGATGACGTACCAGCATGCTGCTTTTTCTTCCGTCCAACAGCTGCCCCAATGATCTGTACCAGCTCCTCCTCACTCGTATTGGAGCGTAAATAGTCTCTCAGTGATACCTCCGAGTTTCCAAAAAGACACACCTAAAGGTAGAAGATTAGAATGTAATTAATGATACTTCCTTACTTTTATCAAGTACACTAAATGAAACAATGTAAATCTATTAATTTAATTACAACGTTACAATATAATGGAACGACAATAACTTAATGTAAAACGTTACAGTTACACACATTTCTCCTCCCCCACTTAAAATGTAAATTACTCATTGCATTATTACACAATTCTAACCTGATAAATACAAATAATATGGTTTGCTGTGTGGCAGAACCAGCCTCGCCACTGGGCATTGGAGAATACTGATTGCCAGTCTCCTGCCCTGTGACTATGGCCCCATGTTGAAATGCTTGATTTTCCCCTGCGAAGACACGAAAGCCGGGTCATTTGGTGCTTGCCCTGTTTGAGCGGTGATACCCCGGATAGCTATGCCATGGAGCCCATTCGTATAACAAAAGACTATGTGAAAGACTTTGGCTCCATGGCAGTTGAACTGTATGTATGTGATCTGAGCGCCATTCAGTAATAATGTGCGCTCAGATCTGAGCTATCTGGGGATATCTTGAATGTACCTGTTTTATGCAATAGCTGCACAGTTATATATTTTTATGTATTTTATTGTCTTTTGCTACCATGTGGCTAATGGAGTTTTTCCTCTGTCCATGGAGATAATAGGATAACTTCCCAATTATCTCCAGGATAGAAGACTCTGTGGAACTGGTTTTGGGCAGAAAAGCCATGCTTCATTGGGTCACAAAGGACGACGATCTAACTTTTGACCTACTGGACCAATTTGTATGATTTTGACGTATGTTGGTATTTGGAGTATGCGGATTCTGAAAATGTTTTATGTGAATGTGATGCATACTTTAAAAGTTATGAATATTGTGTAAAACTGTGTCTTTTCCTGCCTGTGATAATTATATTAACCCATTGTGTAAGGTAATTGTATCACAGGCAGAGGGGAGGATTTTGTGTGGGAGTGTCTGTGTGTATTGTACGTATTGATTGGTTGTTCTGCAAAACTCTGTGGGCAGTACTATGTTTGTAAAATGGGCATAAAAGCAGAGTGTTGGATTAAAAGCTTCAGTTCTACTTCACTCTCAATTTGGAGTGCCTTCTCTTATTGGGGGAATCTGCTACAAGGGATTACTATGCTAGTCATACTCCCTTGCTATATCACTACTAAGCTCTTGTAAGAGCTTGTTCCTGTCCTGCTCTCTGAAGGAGTCCACGGTGGTTATGGTGTCGGCTAGAGTGCTTGGAGCCCTCAGGAAGCGCTATGAGCATCCATCAACGGAGGTACCCAGTCGGGGTGCCAGGTGATCCGTTACATTGGTGGCAGCAGAGGGATGGTGTCCTAGTGCGAGGTAAAGCAGCTCAGAGACACCGTTCGTGGATTTACAAATTGAGGGCAACGCTAGCACTCGTGCAGCGCCCCTGGGAGCAGAGCTATCCAGCGACTTGGAGCAGAGAAGTATGGAAGGCTCTGGCTGTGAAGATGATTGGCTACAAAGGATTGCTATGCTAGTCATACTCCCTTGCTATATCACTACTAAGCTCTTGTAAGAGCTTGTTTATGTCCTGCTCTCTGAAGGAGTCCACGGTGGTTATGGTGTTGGCTAGAGTGCTTGGAGCCCTCAGGAAGTGCTAGGAGCATCCATCAACGGAGGTACCCAGTCGGGATGCCAGGTGATCCGTTACATGCTGTTTGCTACAAATGCTGTGTAAGAGTCAAAGAACGTCTTTATTACCGACTGCAAACACACCTTTTTAAACATCAATGAAGGCTTATTCACATCAACATTATCACCTTCTCTACTAATACAGCATATTCACTATCTAATACAGCTTGTTCTCAATCTCCCTCCAGGAACATTTGGTGTCTAACTGGATAAACTTAATTCCAGAGCCGATTCTCCAGCATGTTCTAAGGTTTTTACCATTTGGTGGTATGTATGTGTCACATTAGATAGAAATTGTTAGGAATGAGAATATGTTCCTAATTCAGTACGGGACAGTAGGACACAGGCACTTACCTTTAGATTCCCATCAGCTGTTATCCTCAGCCTGTTACAAGAGCCGCAAAAGTGTTCCGACATGGACGTGATGAACCCAATGTGCCCTACGAAGTTTGGCACCCTGAAAGCCTAAAATAATTAAACATTGATAGAATAATAAGGACACACACTATTTATTTCACAGTGAAATACTAGTGAATGTAAACTGTGCACAGTGATAGAGTAACATGCAAGTTATTGGCAGCCAATCACCAAACCTTGTTCTGATTTGCCAACCCCCGAGGAGGTAGTTGGAGGAACCTACGCCTATTACATACTTTAGATGTGCTGGATGATTCTGTAGGAAGTTTTTCCAGGTCTGGCCACTTCTGTCTGATTGTATCCAACATCTCCTGATAGCTCACCATCTTCTTAAAGTTCCATTTATTGCCTAGGGGTCATAAAGGGGGAGGGTGAATTTTTGAACATTTAACACTAATCACATACATGTGGACTTGCTTGTGAGATTTGTTATTCATTCATGTTAAAGTTGTAACCTTCCAAATACAATTGCTAGTGCCACATAAACAGAAATATTTACTTAAAGGAGTACTCCAGGCACCATAACAACTTCATACAGATTCTCCAATTGATTTATTTATGCATTCAGTAGCATTGCGATATTCAGCTTTGTAAACAGAACAGTCAGCAAACCAGCGCCAACATAACGACAACTTACCGTCAAACGGCATGTACTCAATAAAGCGAACCTCCAGAGGCTTTTTCTCCGTAAGTGCAACAAAATCCAAGAGCTCATCCTCATTTAACCCTCTCATCACCACACAGTTCAACTGTAGAGGGCAAAGAAAGGGTTAATTACAGGTGAATGAATAAGTAAAACACATCAGAATCAGTCAGTCATACAGATTCATTAACGACACGAGGGCAACAAGAAATCTTTACTGGCTACAATGTAATGAATCCTCTGGGCAATCTCAAGGCTCATACAATGAGACAATGTCACAATTTACATTAAATCCATAATTGTATCATCTGCATCCCAGCATGGGTTGATATAATTGTCATATTTCACCAATGTAAACATCCACTATGCCACAACGCTCTCTAAAAAAGAAATATCATAGAGTATTTCGTTTGTAAACCTGGATATATTAAACTCCATGAATATTTTCAATATTAGGACCTATTTCCCATTTTTTTACATTATATTTTGTTAGAGAATAGAGCTAAAGTTTAGCTGTGAGATAAAATGTCTATGCTCTAGAGCAGGGGTCCTCAAACTCCGGCCCCCTAGATGTTGCTGAACTATAACTCCCATGATTCTTTGAATTACATAGATAGCTAGAGAATAATGGGAGTTGTAGTTCAGCGACATCTGGGGGGCCGGAGTTTGAGGACCCCTGCTCTAGATGTTTCCATTGATTGTACATACTGGGGGGGTTCCTCCCAACTTCAAAAAAACGCTGCTATTCTAATGACAGCTGGGCAGTTGAGGAGAAGGTTTACTTTTTAAAGTTGTGCATACTATATAGGTAGAATTGATGGGAGGGAGCTCTGTCTGATGAATGGTTTTAAATAAATTAGGACATTTTCACACGTCTCTGAATATCACCTTCCTCCTATTTGCATCAGTTGTATAAGCAGCCAATCAGCCAACAGGCACACAGATGCATGCTGGGAACAATCATCTCCTATCACACAGCGGCTCACCACCAGCAAAGTAGCAATCTGCATCTACGTGCCAATAGCAAACACAAACAGAGGCCTGCTTGCTGAGAGTACAAACTGATTTATTTTTCCCATTAATTTATTAATTTTCAGTTCAATAAAATTATCTTATATCATTTCTGATACTCTGTATTCCTTGTAACACAAACATGGCAAACACCTTTTAATTAATGGTGATTTATTAACAGATCATTGTTAGTGAAGTACTGACGGCAAAGTTTGCAGTATCTAATAGTAATTAATGCTCCCTATATAAATACACAGAGATTGCTACTTCCACAAGCAACACACCTGCCGGTGTTGGTATTCGGGTTGTTTGCGCAGTGAAGCCAAAATCTACATTCTCTCTACTTATTGGTCAAAAATTTTATTTACTTTTAACAGACCTAATTTAAGTGAAATCCAGTCCTATTTTCAACAGACACGCTTAGCACCTGGAATGTGGATCAAGGAAACAGAAAAAATAATGGGGAGAGGGTCAAATCACTAAGTATTACAGGATGTGTATTATGGATACAATTCCAAAAATAGAAAAAAAAAAAAAAAAAGAAATTGTTCCCCCAAACAAACACACACAAACTGGAAACACGTGCCCTGGCATCAGCAGGGTTTACAAAGAATGTTCTTGGATGGTGCGTCTTAGCACATAGTAAACGTTTATTAATGGCGAGATGGAGTGCGCCTGGTCAGTGAGCCGCGCCAAACATGAGAGATTACAGACAAACACACTTTGTAAAGGGCGACGGCCCAAGAGGTAATGGTAGGAAAAGCTTCCTGTTTTACCACGTAAAAATACAAAATAAAATAAAAAAATGCTAAAACTTTTAAATACCACCATTTTCATGGTTTCTCTCAGGCCTAGGAACAAACTGTAGGTGCAACACATCAATTCATTTCTAGAAATGTTAAAAAAATAACAGAGGGGCTTATTTACTAAACAGTGAATTGTGACAATCGAAAAAATAAATAAATACAAAGTAAAGACTATATTTTATTAATATATATTATATAAATAAATTCATGCCTTGAAAAATTAAAGAAAATGAGAAAATAAAATGAAGGGGATTTTATGATAATAATAGTTATTCACTAAAGTTGAGAATTGTTGGAAAAATAAGGGCCAAATACCAGAAATGGAAGATATTTACATTACGGGCCCCTTTAGCAGGATTTATTAAAGGGACACTACAGACACCCAGCTCATTGAATTGGTCTGGGTGCAATGTCTCTGGCCCCTTAACCATGCAAAGCTAAATATTGAAGTTTCTGGAAAATCAGACAGCCACTAGAGGCGCTTCCTGTTGGTTAGGTGACTTTCGGTCGCCTAATTTACCGTGGATGTCCTCGCTTTCTGCATAAGGACACCCAGCATCAGTAAAACCCATTAGGATAGCATTGAAGCAATGCTTTCCTATGGGGAGGGCCCAACATGCATGAGAATTAGCTCCCCGTGTCAGGTGACCTCAGAGGAGGCATAGCTCTGTCCCAGCACCGAATTACGTGCCAGAATTAAGTAAGTACAGTAAGAGTTTAATGAACATTACAATGGGGGGGGAGGGGGAAGAGAAACGTATTGTGCTAGGAATACAGATTTGTATTCTTATCACTATAGTATCCATTTAACCCCTTAAGGACACATGACATGTGTGACATGTCATGATTCCCTTTTATTCCAGAACTTTGGTCCTTAAGGGGTTAAGTTGTTGTATAAAGTCTGCCTAACACGAGCCTTTAAATTCTGCTAATATTTTGGAACTGCAGTATTTCTTACTTGCAGGGCCGGTGCAAGGATTTCTGCCACCTTAGGCAAAGATCCATTTTGCTGCCCCCTCGGCCTCATGTCACTCACTCACTCACTCACTGACAGATGCACACTCACACACTTACTCACTGACACACAAACACACACTCACAGACAGACATACACTCACCGACAGACACATACACACAGACACTTACTGACATACATACACTCACTCACTGACAGACACACACACATACACTCACTGACATACATACACTCACTGACATACATACACTCACTCATTGACAGACACACACACACACACACACACACACACAGACACTCACTGACAGACACACACACAGGCAGACACTCACTGACATACATACACTCACTCACTGGCTAATGGTGGCGCCGGCTCTGCTTACTTGCCCCATAGTGTATACATGCCCTGCGTTTCTGGTGGAGAGGTGCTTTCCCAGACCCCGGTCTAGTGTTTCCTGTGCTTTTCTGGTACTGTCTAAACTACGATGCAAAGTAAAATACCGTACCTTATACACAATGCAAAGATAATCAAGATATGCTGAATGCAAAATCAGCAAGACATCCCTGTCCCATCTACACCCCCGCAGAGTGGGAGATACAACCCCAGCAGAGCGAGAGATACACCCCCCGCAGAGCGAGAGATAGGCCCCCCGCAGAGTGGGAGATGTACCCCCCCCCAGGCGGGAGATACACCCCGCGCAGAGCGGGAGATACACCCCCTGCAGAGCGGGAGATACACCCCGCGCAGAGCGGGAGATACACCCCGCGCAGAGCGGGAGATACACCCCCCGCAGAGCGAGAGATACACCCCCCGCAGAGTGGGAGATACACCCCCCCGCAGAGCGAGAGATACACCCCGCGCAGAGAGAGAGATACACCCCCCGTAGAGCGGGATATACACCCCACGCAGAGAGAGAGATACACCCCCCGCAGAGCGAGAGATACACCCCCCGCATACTCTGAGCATGTGGAATAAATCCGTAACTAGATTCTGCCAGTGTAAAAATATTATTAAAACCAATGTTTTATTTTGTTGTTGCATTGATTCACTATAAACAAAAGTGTCATCTGTCGACGTAGATCTTTTTAACTGGATTTATATATATATTTATATTGCTCCTACCTTGACGGGATTATAGCCCAGCTCCAGTGCCTTATTGATGCCTTCCATCACCTTATGGAAACCTGAAAAATAGAAAAAAAATATTACTTATAACATAACGTATAAACCACTCGCATCACATTTCAATACACTATCAGATCTGTAGGACAGGGGCACTTTAAAACTATTCCTGCATTGACACAAGTGGTTTAACCCCTTCCTGCCCCTTGCATATTATATGCAGGTAATGTGTCAAAATGTTGTGATCTGAACAGTGGTAATATTATAAAAGTGAACCAATCATTAGAATGTCTGTTGATTCATTGGTTTCCAACGCGATTTGCCGCTATTAGAACTTTTGCAGCACTTTTCAGATTAAGATACTTTGATCAATCTCTCTGTATGTTACATAGATGAATCCAGCTATGAAGAGAAAAGAGCACTGGCCTAACAAATCTCGATAAAACACTGTATTTTGCCCAAACAGAACATTAGGGGTTACTAAAGGGTTTGAGTAAACTGGGGTTTTGGAATAACCCTTTGATGCCTCTGCCTGTGCTACACATTATTCTAATGACATGGCTCTCTAGAACACATTCTTATTAAAATTAAAAGAATATTTTTTTAACTTTATTTTCCACCGTGACGAACTGCCGCTTCTTTTGTAGTGTTTATTTGATGAATAGAGCAGCGTTACATTCTTACACTGCCCTTACACCATGTCTGAACAGGGAACCTCTGGGCTGCTCAAACACACTACAAGAATATCTCATACGACTACATACTCTGTGCAAAGGACACCAAGGGGTTAAACTAAATCACATGCTGTGCCCAACATTTCCTGCAGGCAGGTTAATTAAATAAATTGGAACTCATGATATAGTTTAAAAAAAAATAAAAAAATAACACAAGCCATAAGTAAATATTAGTTGTCCATTTGAGAGTGCAAACATTTCATGTGTGACCGTTTGGTTGTTTTAAACTTACATTTGAAATTCACATTGAATTCTGTAACAAGAACCCGTTTGGTTTAGTTGATGCAAGACAGTGGTTTGCAATTTATCTCCAAGAAATAAATCATTTTTCTTACAAAAGCAGATAAATCTGTAAAGTCCCCACTAAATTCAGATAAAATGCCAAAACCAATCTTTCCTCATCGTGGACCCGGTTAGTCTATAACTGATAGAACCGCGCTGGAGCTCTAAAGCCAGTGAAATAAACAAAACAAAACAAAAAAGGTTAAGAAAAAGTCAGGGGAGGTAGAATAAAAAGCCTCAAGATGGCTATCGTTTCAATGTTATTTTTGGAAAATGTATCATAGAGAATATTTAAAAATAAAAACGTAAGGAATGTAATGGTTTTCAGCATTAATTTACGGCAGACCACGCTAAATGGCAGGATCGGGTCAGGAGAAGCGATAACATCAACTGAGATACAAGCTCAGAACCCACAACACTTTCCATAAAGACGCAAAGGAACACAGGGCATTCGGAGTCCATCGTCTTAAAGAGGACCTGTCTCTAATGGAACACAATACTCGAAGTATTAGCATTCCGTACAAACTGGATTTCATTATTATTAATATAATTCAGCCTACATGCAAGGCAATCAGTAGATGTCTTTTCATAACTGAACCCTTTATAAGCATATTAGGTATTTAAAGAGACTCAAGGAGATATAGTCATTACGCTACGTGTGAAGGACATGGTACAAGAAGCTCCCATCTCTCTTCTTGTTTAGTTTATTCAATTGATTGCGGACATTTTAGCTATTCACAGTTACTTCCTGGTCTCTGCATCAAACTACTGACATTCAGACCATAGCGGAGTGATTATCATATGAGGAGTACTTTGGTCCTGTTTACCAGTATTGAGGCAAACTGGCTTTTGGCTAAACTGATCCATGCCCCCTTCCCCCCCCCTCCATCCTCTCCCTCACTTTTCGGGGAAGAAAACTAATAACACAGAGAAAAGTGTGAAGATAAAACAAAAAAAAAGTTTCAGCCAATGATTTTTTTTTTTCACCGCAAGACTTAATAAATATTGAAGTGAACCAATAAAAGAATACTACATTACAAGCATTCATGGAAAAATGCTTTCAAAAAGCTCTGCAAGAATTACAACTGGAAATTAACAACAATACAGCAAAGATTAAAAAAGCAATTGAGGCATTATCAGACAAAAAACTAAAAGTTGAAGAGCATTTACAAAAAATCGACACACAACAACTGATACTACAAGAAAAATAGGACTACCTGCTCCTCAGAATAAATAGCCAGAAGATCGTGCAAGGAGAAACAATTTACGCTTTAGAAGTATCCCAGAAGAAACCAGTTCTGAACAACTAAGAGTGTTTTATCTCAGTACTTTAAGGAACGTGGCGCAGAAGATCAAGACCTCAATTCAACAATTGAATGAATACACCGCTTACCGAAACCAAGTTCAATGAAAAATAACACACCTAGAGATGTTATCGCTAATTTCCCTGTCTTACCTATTCAAAGAAAAGATCTTAATGTCAATAAAAGGAAATAAACCTGAAGAATGGAAAATTTAAAGACGTGCTGATCTTCCCTGATCTTTCATACCAGACAGGAATTCATCAGAAAACGTATACTGACGCTCTGCAGGTATTAAGACAAAAGAGTGTCCGATAGAAGATAAGATATCAACATAATTATATAATGGATGGTACAGCATTGATATTAATATTTATAATAGAAGACACAGATATTAGTGGTAGTTTAATACATTTTTTATTTTTTTTAGAAGCGGTTTTCTAAATAACACTAACATGGCGCAGTCAGAAATAGTGAGACATTTGAATTATGGAACCATAATAAGAGGGTGTTTTATTCAGAATAAGAGAGAAGAAATACACAGTAATTTCAGGATTGTCTTCACGATTGTAAGCACTTATAATAATGATTATATGGGAATAAAATATTGTTATAATTTTTTTTTGTTTGTTTTCTCCATTTGCATATTAGAGATATACAAACATATTTTTATTATATTAACAATTCTTGCCCCAAATGGCAGTTTACCCCTGCCGTAGGTTCTTTGAACTTAGTAGCATTTCTAACCTCTATTTTGAGGTATAGATTGCGGGATGTCTATCTTGAGGCTCAGGAAGACATTAACATATGTGGTCTTTGTTTATATGTGCATGTTTGTCAGGTTTTTTGACTGCCAGCACAGGACGAGGAATGAGGTTAACTTTTTTCATTTTTGATTATGGTTAAATTCTTGAGTGTGAATGTACAGGGACTTCACTCTAATTTTAAATGACAAATGGTGCAAAAAACAATGAAAAAAGCGGCTATAGATATATTAATAATTCAAGAAACCCATTGGTGAACAAACGATGAACAAATATGGTGGCATTTGCCTCCAGGGGAGGCATTTAATTATATTAGAGTGAAAAGCTTTCAGAACAAGTATGTCCTCATGGAAAATACCAACGTAGTAATGATGTTGGAAAAAATATTTCTGCAGAATAATATTAAAAAAAATGTTGGCCAAATGTGTAAAAATAGTTAAAATATTGAATAATAGAAAGCAGAAAAATAGTAATATTACTAAATGAGAAATAGATTTGCACCGGTCTCTGGATGAGCAGTCATGGATTTCAGCATTCTCAAGTTTCACCAAGAACATCCATGATCTCTCACTAATAGGAACGCATTTCAAGTGTATTACCAGATGGTACTTTGTCCCAACTACAATGGCAAATGTGTTTCCAGATAGTAATAACAAATGCTGGAGATGCGAGGAAGAAATTGGCTCTTATACGCATATTTTTTGGCATCGCACAAAACTATGCACGTTATAGTCATGGGCTTTTGAGTTTCTTAAAAAAGCATTAAAGACAAATGTTACATTTACTCCGAATATCGCTTTATTGAATATGAATCTGTCCGAATGATCAAAAGTGCAACCATATTTAATAACTCATACTTGTGCAGCAGTGAACATATTGATTGCAAGAGGCTTGAAGCAGAGTCACGCTTTTTCATTTGTTAATCAACTGCTATGGCAGCTTAAGATGGAAAATGGTAGAATTTGGTTTACAGAGGCGGTGGAAAAAACCTACAGCATATCTAACTAAGTAATGACATGCTCCTGTGGTTATTGATGTATGTTGGTATGTTTTTTCTCTATTGAGACTTATGCTACAGAGCTTATTGCCTTATGTTTTTAAGATTTTGTAATTTGTCTAAAAGGAAATTAATAAAGATTATAAAATAAATGAATAAATAAATAAAGTACGGAACGTGTTTTGGCATCTTTAGTATGCCACATGCTTTGCCCCTCGTTTTGCATACACTGTTTTCTCTATAGTTTTTTTTTTTTTGCCAATCTCTCTTTTATTGAGGCAAATATTATTCGTGGTACAGAATAAAGAGAGGGGAAACGAGAGCAAAGCATACAAAATTAGGGATAATACATCATTCTTCATTCCCTAGATACATCAGCCTCATTTTATATTATTTAAGTAAACAAGTAACGTTTTGAACTGGTACGTCAAACTATGTATTGATCTAGCTAAGTCACTGTATGTTCTGCACGCTAATGTCTTCTCTATAGTTGGTGGTCCAGCATGGATCAAGATTTATGAAAATGCATTGAACAAGGTTCCACCATGCTCCTGTCACTGTGCCCCATTCAGGCGTTTCTGTTACTTGTAAAACATTCTGTACCAACTCAATGCTGCTCTGTGAAGCTGTTAGAGGATTTATAGCAGTATTACAGCACCATCTAGTGGAAAGAATGGAGAATGCATATACGATTGTTCAATGTACAAGGCAGTTAAAGGGACTATTTGAGGTTTATTTACTAAAGTAAATTTGAATTTAATGCCAGAGTAGTGACCTAGATGGGACATACATGTGTATTAGGGAGGGAGCAGCATTATGTAGGGACTTGTAAGCAAGCACCAGAATCTTAAACTGAGCCCTAACAGGAAGCCAATGTAGGGACTGACAGAGGGGGAGAGGATGGGGGAGGAGGGGGTTGCGGACGGATAGGAAGATGATGCTCACGGTGCCTAGAGAGATATAAGCTATGCCTCACTGATGATGCCTAACGAGGCTGAAACGATCGTCTGGGGTTGCTGTGTCTCTCACGCAGAGAGAACTTGCTAACATTTCGGATCTGGACTGCCCGTATGTATGGGTGGGACCAGTCTCATATGCTTCAGAGATGTTCTCTCTGTAATGGCACAAGATGAGCTAAAACCAGCTTGAATTCTGAGCGGGGACCCACCGAAGGGCAGGCTATTTCAGTTGTTGTCCGTTTTCAGAATACTCTTGCGACCTGTTTTTTGCTCTCCGGACAGGAAGATGAGCCTCGCCACCACATTCATTTATTTATAAAATATTTTACAATTTCTATGTGGAGGCCAAAAGATAGATTCTAGATAGATTCTAGATAGATATATTATGATATATATATATATATATATATATATATATATATATATATTATATATAGATTACCATAGATATATTATAGATTAAAGATTATAAATAGATTATAGATAGTGTGACGGTCACCCAGTGTGAGGATGTCCTTTTCCCCTAGTCTGAGGAGTGCTGCAGTATTCTCCAGTTGATATCCAAGCAGACCAGGAATCCAGTATAGCTGTAGAGCTCTTATAAGAGCTAGTGGTTGTAGCAGTATAGTGGTTCCCTACAATCACAAGATAAGTCTGCGTGTTTAGGGTTAAGGGAACTGGTTTAATGGTAGCCACACTGGCCTTTTATGCAAGTCCCCATGCAAGGGGGACCTTGTGGGGGACTACAATAAAGAATTACAAACCAATAATAACAGGGTTATACAGTGTGACACTCACATACATAACATACAATCCCTCCCCTCTGCCTGGGAGATAATTGAGTCAATTACTGTATCAACTCAATTATCTCCAGGCAAAAAGGAACACAATTTATATACATTCTAAAAATATCCCGTAAACCCCATAAAAAGTATATCCCCTGATAGCTAAACATATGCAAAAATCACCCAGATCGGTTCAGGGGTTCGGGATTCATATTGAAGTCTTATTTCTGACCGACCGCACTTGAGACACCTGCCCAGAATAGTTCCATAAATTCAGGCAGTGTGATCGGTCTCTTTTGTGGTCTTCAAATACAACGAAATGTCTCAAATAACTGTTAGTGGGAAAGCTAGTCGTGTGCCCATTGTTCGGGAGTTGGGTTTCACCGAACGCAGCCTCTTTCGTATGATTTGGAACGAACCTAGGTGATCCTGTAAGTCTCAGTGGTGTTCGGGCCGTTGAGTGTCTGAAAATAGTTCCATACACTCGACGACCAAACAACGCTAGACGCCTTCGACAAAACAAGATGGCCGCCACTACGTGTTCGTACATACGAATCGACAGCCACCCAGTGAAACACTTAGAACGTTCAGAGTTGCAGTTAGAGCAAGTGTCAGTAAGGTCAATTGGGTCAATTCGTGGCACACGACTGCTTTGGGTGGTCCAAGTGTTCGGTTTATTATTCGGTATATGAACCAACTCGGGCAAATCTGTTCGGTTGGGTTCATATACAGATCCAGGCAAAATAAAAGTCATATCCAGGAACAGGGTATCTGTTACATATAGATTATCATAGATAGATTATCATAGATAAATTATCATAGATAAATTATAGATAGATTATAGGTAGATTATAGATATATCATAGATAGATTATCATAGATTTTAGATAGATTAGCATTCATTATAGATGGTAACAGGGAAAGTTGGGAACACGTAAAAAAAACTGAGAAGGGGATTGTAGTAATCAAGGCGAGAGAGAACAACAGCATGGACCAGCACCGCTGTCCGCATCTGGCGCTAAGTAGGGGCGTATGTGCCCAATGTTTTTAGCGGAAGCAGCAGGATTTGGCAATTTACTGGACATGAGAGGTGAAGGAGAGGTCGGAGTTAAAGAGAACACCTAGGCATGTCTCCTTTCATAACCTCTTGTTTGGATCCATACAGATAGCATACAGATGTGCATGTTGAATAGAAAAAAAAATATATATGAAAAATAAAATCGTTCTGCTCCTATAACAAATGGGTGTCACAAGTGTATCCAGTGTGAGTCCTTGGAGAGTGTAATAGGTTTGTGCCATCGCACTTTGTTTCCATGTATTTTGGGTTTGCCTTACATAAACACACATCATTGTTAAATTAGGCAAAACAAATACAACACAACACAATAGAGATCAAATAGAAGAAAAATGGATCTCACTCAGTCAGAATCAGTAAATCCACATTTATATAAATATATCCAGCCCCGAATCTGCTTTGCTGAAAAAGCATAATTCTGAAGAGATTGATATTTAAAGGCAGAAAGTGAAATAATGTATTAATTATTTAAACCGCACCTAAAACGCTTCCAGAATTGGTCACTGGATAAATCTAAAACCAGATTCTTACCATAACAACATCACTTCTTACAAAGTAACAGTGATTACAGCTAGATTCCAAACTTTGGCTGATGAATTTGACTTTTAGTAAGACAGAACCCTCTAAAAGATGAGTGAGGGGGCAAGCTCTTATCATGAGTTTTATTATCCTCTAATGATTGTATAATGTGGATGGTATCTCTGAGATCTTCGTGTTTAAAAATATTTCTGTCTCTCTTCATTAATGAAGCACTTGAAATTAAAAAAATAAACGGGGACTATAGTGTCAGGAGCACAAACGTGTATTCCTGACACTATAGTTCAAAAACCACCATTTAGGTGGTCGGCTTCCCTGACCTTGGTTTTGAAAAATGATTTACTTACCTTTTTCCAGCGCTGCGTGGGGCTCCTAACTTCTGGCCCCGCCACCACTCCCTTGGCTGGCATCATCAGAACTGATGATCTTAGTCGATCACAATGCTTTCCCATAAGAAATAGACAATTCTGATAATCTCAGCCAAGGAGGCGGGAAGGGGGGGCGGAGACAAATGTCACCATGGCCAATCAGCATCTCCTCATATAGATGCATTGAATAATTTCTCATTAGAATTTCTGAGAATTTAGTTTTATTAAAGCCAATTTTCAATTTAAAAAAAATAATAATATATCCATGCTATATACAGTACTTGACAAAGTCCTAACTCAAAGTTTAAATTAAAAATGTTTTTATTCTCAGACCTCGAATGACCCAGGAGCAAGGAGACTTCTTATCTGGGTCACACTAATCCTTTTAGTAAATCTACAACAATATATTACATGGAAGCCTATTTAATAAGAAAATAATGCCATTAAGATGTTCAGCAGATATCAGAATAAACCCTGTGACCCAAGGCTGAAAGCACCCAAAAATTACATTAATGTACCCTAATATCCGTGGCATGTATCCAGAGGCTCAATAGTGCAGCTGGGGTCTTTAACCCCAAGAAAACTGATACCACAGAAATAAAATAATATATTCTGCAAAGTCAGTAACCCTTCAACATTCAGATAGGAGTAGCAGTGGGATCATCAATCTGAAACAGTTTGTTAAAGAGCACTTACCTTTCCTACGCACTATGAACTCGAACTTGGCAGGTACCAAGGTATCCAGGCTGACATTAAGCACGTCCAGACCGGCATCTCGCAGTTTGGGCAGCTGTCGGCTCAGGGTGATTCCATTTGTTGTTAGTGCGATTGTTTTTAATCCTTCCAGCTTCCGGAGTTGGGCTGCAGAAAAAAAGCAAATATGTTAAAAATTGTATTGTTACCTCTGCGGGAAATATGTATGTATTCTACGGCAAAATCCCTCTCACAGTATCAGAACATGAGTGACGGGGCTATTTATTGGAGTGATTCAAACTGAATATTTGAATTCACTGAAAGCAAAGTTAATTTAGAGAATATGTCCAGTTTGGCTGTTTTGACTTTATGGTCTATCCCTGTTAGTGTGTATTGAATGCACTTACATATTAAAGGAACACTATAGTCACCTAAATTACTTTAGCTAAATAAAGCCGTTTTAGTGTATAGATCATTCCCCTGCAATTTCACTGCTCAATTCACTGTCATTTAGGAGTTAAATCACTTTGTTTCTGTTTATGCAGCCCTAGCCACACCTCCCCTGGCTATGATTGACAGAGCCTGCATGAAAAAAAAACTGGTTTCACTTTCAAACAGATGTAATTTACCTTAAATAATTGTATCTCAATCTCTAAATTGAACTTTAATTACATACACAAGGCTCTTGCAGGGTCTAGCAAGCTATTAACATAGCAGGGGATAAGAAAATCTTAATTAAACAGAACTTGCAATAAAGAAAGCCTAAATAGGGCTCTCTTTACAGGAAGTGTTTATGGAAGGCTGTGCAAGTCACATGCAGGGAGGTGTGACTAGGGTTCATAAACAAAGGGATTTAACTCCTAAATGGCAGAGGATTGAGCAGTGAGGCTGCAGGGGCATGTTCTATACACCAAAACTGCTTCATTAAGCTAAAGTTGTTCAGGTGACTATAGTGTCCCTTTAATTAAATAATGCATTTAGAGGATTGTTATGGCTGCAGCTTTACAAGGACAGATCTATCGGCAGCTGCAGGGTCACTGCGCTCCCTATAAAAATAAACATCTTTCTTTTATTTGCCAAAGGTTACAATAATTATATGCGAACAGTGAGCTAACTGTATGTAAGCTGGTTCTAGAGAAATTATTGTGTAGATGGATGAGGCTCTATAAATTTTATGTTCCTGCTGATCTTCACACACCGCCTGTGTCTTAACCTATCCCGGCTGCTCTTCAACTGCTGCCACGCTTCTCCAATAACTAGACAGCATGTTACTGCTGCCATGCTTCTCCGTTAACTAGACAAAATGTTCCTGCTGCAATGCTTCTCCGCTAACTAGACAATATGTTCCTGCTGCCATGCTTCTCCACTAACTAGATAACATGTTCCTGCTGCCACACTTCTCCAATAACTAGATAACATGTTCCTGCTGCCACGCTTCTCCGCTAACTAGATAACATGTTCCTGCTGCCATGCTTCTCCAATAACCAGATAAAATGTTCCTGCTGCCATGCTTGTTCGCTAACTAGATAACATGTTCCTGCTGCCACGCTTCTCCACTAACTAGATAACATGTTCCAGCTGCCATGCTTCTCTGCTAACTAGATAACATGTTCCTGCTGCCATGCTTCTCGCTAGATAACATGTTCCTGCTGCCATGCTTCTCTGCTAACTAGATAACATGTTCTTGCTGCCATGCTTCTCTGCTAACTAGATAACACGTTCCTGCTGCCATGCTTCTCGCTAGATAACATGTTCCTGCTGCCACGCTTCTCCGCTAACTAGATAACATGTTCCTGCTGCCATGCTTCTCCAATAACCAGATAAAATGTTCCTGCTGCCATGCTTGTTCGCTAACTAGATAACATGTTCCTGCTGCCACGCTTCTCCACTAACTAGATAACATGTTCCAGCTGCCATGCTTCTCTGCTAACTAGATAACATGTTCCTGCTGCCATGCTTCTCGCTAGATAACATGTTCCTGCTGCCATGCTTCTCTGCTAACTAGATAACATGTTCTTGCTGCCATGCTTCTCTGCTAACTAGATAACATGTTCCTGCTGCCATGCTTCTCGCTAGATAACATGTTCCTGCTGCCATGCTTCTCCGCTAACTAGATAACATGTTCCTGCTGTCATGCTTCTCTGTTAACTAAACATGTTCCTGCTGCCATGCTTCTCTGCTAACTAGATAACATGTTCCCATATTATGTGTCCCCTCAGCTATTAATAATAATCTTCTTTACATGCCTTCTATGTGATGTTAGGGTTTTAATCTTATTCTAAAGGTAGCTGCTAACAATTCTCCCTTTAGTAAATAACAGTGTGCAGCCAACCAACATAATTCCAATGTTTTAATAACAGGATGAGGAATGAGTAGGAAAGTATGTAGGTCGTCATGTTCTGGTTCTGTAGACCCACAGATTGCCTACACCGGACTAAGTGCCATTAAAACGGGCTCACCAACAATATCCACCACGTCTGGACGAATAAGCGGCTCTCCACCAGTTAGACGAATTTTATCCACTCCCTCTTGTACAAACAACCTGGCCAGCGTCAAGATCTCCTGGGTGGTGAGAAGTTCAACTTTTGGGGTTAGTTTCACACCTTCTTCAGGCATACAGTACTGACCTGGAATAAAGAACTGACTTGTAAGAAAGGAACCCCGTTTTATCAAGCCATAGGACCGACTGACAAAACTGCATTAAAGAGAACCTACAGTCCTTTAAAAATATAGTTTTGCAGTACTTCTGTGCACCCCTGCCTTTGGTATTAAAAAATGAAAGCTAAATAATGAATACTCACCCAGTTTTCAGTGCCGGGAACCCCCGTTACAGCTACCTGCTCCGCTTTTGAGGACATCAGCGTGCCTGTTGATGTCTTCCTTGATCTACTCCAAACCAATCGTTCTTATAGAGAAGCAATGAATTGCAACAAAGCATGCGATTGCGTGGCTAAACTTCGTGCTCCTCCAATCAAATGCTATCAGCAGCATTTGATTCAAGGACTGGATTTCAAACAGTCTGGAGGAGGAGGTGCCTCTAATGGCAGGAAGACAATCACTGGATGTGTATTTAAACCTGCAATGCAAACATTACAGTTTCTACTAAACTATGATCCTTTACATTATAGAGATGCAGTTATCTGGTCATTTAACCCCTTAAATACCAAACTTCTGGAATAAAAGGGAATCATGACATGTCACACATGTCATGTGTCCTTAAGGTGTTAATAATGAAAGGAAAGCAATGCCCAGCTCAACTTTACAAAGCCACGGAATACCATGACTTCACGAAGCTAAGGAATACAATGACCTGACTGCGATGTTGATGTGATTCTATGATGAAAGGAGACATATCTTTATAAAGTCATGAAAGACACTAAGCGGGTTAGAAATTGCCATCATATGACAGAGAATCTGAGGCCTTAATGAGCAATGGGAGGGACAGAACAAACTGGAGACTGGTTTTATTATATAATGGAATGATTTCAAGGCTCTGCAACTTAATTAAACAAAGGAAGAGACTGAGCAGGTATCTCAGACAATATATTACAATAACCAATCACTAGTATCTTTATTGCAAAATCTCTCAATTTATTTTGCCTGGAGACGTTTTAACCCCTTAAGGACACATGACATGTGTGACATGTCATGATTCCCTTTTATTCCAGAAGTTTGGTCCTTAAGGGATTAAAGCTTCGTAACTTGAGGCAGTGCAAGTACAAAAAATGGGCGATAATATTATAAATGGGTTATACTGCAACCAGAATATAAATACCAGAAAAAAATATCACATCAAACTTTGAAAATCCAGGTACCCTTATTATTACGTGTGACTTGCTCTGACTAGGCTGTAGATGTCGGACAAAAACTTAAAGGTCATTGTCACTTTTCTAAGATTTGTAATATGAAGTTTATGTATTCTCCATATTTACCAGATATGTGTTTGAAAGGACTGAAAAATGAAATGTACAAATAACTTGAGCAGGGGAAATTCATTACAACTAGAAGACAATCCAAGGAATCTTGCTAAATACGCTAGTGAGTCAACATAGGGCATTTTGCAAGGTTTGTGATGTTCAGTCCTCCAGCAGATTTCAAAGTATTGTCCCCATAGGTATGCGCAGCCTATTGCATTAGGGTGTGCACCCTAAAGCACAAATACACACCATATATATATATATATATATATATATATATATACACACATACACATATATACACACACTGCTGTGTGTGTGTGTGCTGTGTGAGGGTGCTATTAGTGTGATGTGTGTGTGACGGTGCTGGTAGTGTGCTATGTGGGTGAGGGTGTTTGTGTGTGCGCGCTTGTGAAGGTGCTGTTAATGTACTGTGTGTGAGGGTGCTGTTTGTGTGTGTGTGCGCTTGTGAGGGTGCTGTTAATGCACTGTGTGTGAGGGTGCTGTTTGTGTGTGAGGGTACTGGTAGTGTGCTGTGTGTGTGTTTGTTAGGGTCCTGCTTGTTTTTGTGAGGGTACTGGTAGTGTGCTGTGTGTGTGAGGGTGCTATTTGTGTGCTGTATGTGAGGGTGCTGTTTGAGTGCTGTGTGTAAGGGTGCTGTGTGTGTTTGTGAGGGTGCTGTATGTGTGTGTGTGTGTGTGAGGGTGCTGTATGTGTGTGTGGGTGCTGTATGTGTGTGTGGGTGCTGTGTGTGTGTGGGTGCTGTATGTGTCTGTGGGTGCTGTATGTTTGTGGGTGCTGTATGTGTGTGGGTGCTGTATGTGTGTGGGTGCTGTATGTGTGTGGGTGCTGTGTATGTGTGTAGGTGCTGTGTATGTCTATGGGTGCTGTATGTCTGTGGATGCTGTATGTGTGTGGGTGCTGTATGTGTGTTGGTGCTGTGTATGTCTGTGGGTGCTGTATGTGTGTTGGTGCTGTGTATGTCTGTGGGTGCTGTATGTGTGTTGGTGCTGTATGTGTCTGTGGGTGCTGTATGTGTGTTGGTGCTGTGTATGTCTGTGGGTGCTGTATGTGTGTTGGTGCTGTGTATGTCTGTGGGTGTTGTATGTGTGTGTGTGTGTGTGTGTGTGCTGTATATGTGTAGGTGCTGTGTATGTCTGTGTGTGCTGTATGTGTGGGTGTGTGTGCTGTATGTGTGTGCTGTATGTGTGTGGGTACATTACTTGATATCCCCCCTCCCGTCTTACCTTATGCCTGCTGCTGCTTTCCCTGGTGGTCCAGTGGAGAGTGAACTCTAGCCCCTGTGGTGCTCGGATAGCCCCGGCTCTGCATGAGCTGACAGGGGAGATCCTGAGATCTCCCCTGCCGATCTCAATATACATAGGCGTGCCGCGGGGATTAGGGTGTGCCCAGGCACAACAGGCACACCCCGTGCGCACGCCTATGATTGTCCCATAATGTCCCCAATGTTAGTGGCTTAGCTTGACAGTGATTCCAGGACAGTCAGGATTATTGTAAATACTATTTTTTTTTTTTTATTATTACAGATTGTAGCAAGATGATCGGACATCCTTGGTCCTTGGGAACAGTTAGGTCCTTAGGCCTGGTCCCTCATGATTTTACAATATAGTGCAGAGGTAATGCACAAATAGTCTGACTCCCCTTATTGTAAAATGGCTTATTATATTGGACCATGGGATTGTTTAACTATGGGCCCAGGGACGTATTAGCCGCCCATCAGCCCGACCGGCAACCACTGGACCACCAGAAAAAAAAAAGTGTTAATGTGAGTGATTGTCTGTGTGTGTCTGACTGTGTGTGTGTTTTTGTCTGACTGTGTGTGTGTTAAAAAAAGTGTTAATGTGAGTGAGTGTGTGTGTGTCTGACTGTGTGTGTGTTTGTGTCTGTGTGTGTGTCTGACTGTGTGTGTGTTTGTGTCTGACTGTGTGTGTGTGTCTGACTGTGTGTGTGTGTCTGACTGTGTGTCTGTGTGTGTGTGTGACTGTATGTGTGTTTGACTGTGTGTGTGTGTGTGTTTGTGTCTGACTGTGTGTGTGTGTCTGACCAGTGTGTGTCTGTGTGTGTCTGACTGTGTGTGTGTGTGTGTCTGACTGTGTGTGTGTGTGTTTGTGTCTGACTGTGTGTTTGTGTGTGACTGTGTGTGTGCTTTGTGTCTGACTGTGTGTGTGTGTTTGTGGCTCCGACTGTGTGTGTGTGTGTGTGACTGTTTGTGTCTGTGTGTGTGTCTGACTGTGTGTGTGTGTGTGTGTGAGACTGTGTAAAGCGTGTGTTTCTGTGTCTGACTGTGTGTGTGTGTGTCTGACTGTGTGTGTCTGACTGCGGTGTGTGTGTTTGTGCCTGTGTGTGTGTCTGACTGTGTGTGTGTGTGACTGTGTGTGTGTGTTTGTGTCTGACTGTGTGTGTGTGTGTGATCAGTGTGTGTTTTTGTGTCTGACTGTTTGTGTGTGTGGCAAGACTGTGTGTGTGTTTGTGTCTAACTGTGTGTGTGTGTGTGACTGTTTGTGTGTGTGTGACTGTGTGTGTGTGTGTTTGTGTGTGTGTGTTTGTGCCTGACTGTGTGTGTGTATTTGTGTGTGTGTGTTTGTGTCTGACTGTGTGTGTGTGTGTCTGACTGTGTGTGTGTGTGTCTGACTGTGTGTGTGTGTGTCTGACTGATTGTGTGTGTGTGTGTGTATTTAGAAGGTGGGGCGGGGGGAAGGGTTGGGTGGGGGTGGCGCGGGGGGAGGGGGTGCCTGAGTTTTGTCCTGCCTAGGGCAGCACAAAACCAGGATACACCACTGTATGGGCCAATCCTTTCTATTGCCCAACCCAGTACATTTTCAAAGTCCATGTGTTTTTCCCCCATTCCAAGTATATTACAACATTATGTAAAATGTTTAGCGGCCCTGTTTATTTAATTGAATATGCATTAGTTTTTTTTTAATTAATACATAAATAAAATACACCTTTGGGAACCATCCTGCAAACTGATCTGCAAGGTCCTGGGGGCGACCAATGGGCAGCAGATGGATAATTTGTACTTACATCTAAGGTTGCATTTCTCTGTGAGTGACATCCTCAGGTAGCTGTGCTGACGGCCAAAACTATCCGTGAGGAAGGCAGAGAAAGGCATTGGGTTTTCTTTGATGAACCTTTTCCTGTCTGTGATTGCCAGACCCTAGGGAAACATTTTGCTATTAATATGGAACAACAACTGCTCAATAAACATGTTATCTCTCTTTCTCTCTGGCACCTAGAACGGAACAAGGTGTGTTTTGGGAGTCAGTTTTACTTGTACCAGTGTTTACCTCACCCATCGAGCCTGTATCGCCCAGTTTGACAATCAGTTCGCCCACTGAGCCTGTATCACCCAGTCTAATACTCAGCTCCCCCACCGAGCATGTATCACCCAGTCTAATACTCAGCTCCCCCACCGAGCATGTATCACCAAGTCTAATACTCAGCTTCCCCACCGAGCATGTATCACCCAGTCTAATACTCAGCTCCCCCACCGAGACTGTATCACCAAGTCTAATACTCAGCCCAACCACCAAGCCTGTATCACCCAGTCTAATACTCAGTCCAACCACCAAGCCCGTATCACCCAGTCTAATACTCAGCTCCCCCACCGAGCATGTATCACCCAGTCTAATACTATCACCCAGTCTAATACTCAGCCCAATCACCCCTAATACTCAGCTCCCCCACCGAGCATGTATCACCCAGTCTAATACTCAGCCCAACCACCAAGCCTGTATCACCCAGTCTAATACTCAGCTCCCCCACCGAGCCTGTATCACCAAGCCGAATACTCAGCCCAACCACCAAGCCCGTATCACCCAGTCTAATACTCAGCCCAACCACCAAGCCCGTATCACCCAGTCTAATACTCAGTCCAACCACCAAGCCCGTATCACCCAGTCTAATACTCAGCTCCCCCACAGAGCCCGTATCACCCAGTCTAATACTCAGCTCGCCCACCAAGCTCGTATCACCCAGTCTAATACTCAATTCACCCACCGAGACTGTATCACCCAGTCTAATACTCAGCTCCCCCACCGAGCCTGTATCACCAAGTCTAATACTCAGCCCAACCACCAAGCCCGTATCACCCAGTCTAATACTCAGCTCCCCCACAGAGCCCGTATCACCCAGTCTAATACTCAGCTCGCCCACCAAGCTCGTATCACCCAGTCTAATACTCAATTCACCCACCGAGACTGTATCACCCAGTCTAATACTCAGCTCCCCCACCGAGCCTGTATCACCAAGTCTAATACTCAGCCCAACCACCAAGCCCGTATCACCCAGTCTAATACTCAGCTCCCCCACAGAGCCCGTATCACCCAGTCTAATACTCAGCTCGCCCACCAAGCTCGTATCACCCAGTCTAATACTCAATTCACCCACCGAGACTGTATCACCCAGTCTAATACTCAGCTCCCCCACCGAGCCTGTATCACCAAGTCTAATACTCAGCCCAACCACCAAGCCCGTATCACCCAGTCTAATACTCAGTCCAACCACCAAGCCCGTATCACCCAGTCTATTACCCAGCTCACGCACTGAGCCCGTATCGCCCAGTCTAATACCCAGCTCACGCACTGAGCCCGTATCACCCAGGCTAATATCCAGCTCACGCACTGAGCCCGTATCACCCAGTCTAATACCCAGCTCACGCACTGAGCCCGTATCACCCAGTCTATTACCCAGCTCACGCACTGAGCCCGTATCACCCAGTTTATTACCCAGCTCACGCACTGAGCCCGTATCACCCAGTCTATTACCCAGCTTGCCCACTGAGTGAGAAAAATAAAGTGAGACATAAAACAATTATATAGTGAGAGAAGAGCCGTGTTCTCCCATTTGTTTTATATTTTACGTGTTAATGTTTTCATACCGGAAAGTCAGCAGGGCCCCAGGTGTTTGAACTCTGTCACCTGGTTATTGAACATCCAGATACTCTGGTACATTTGTATCTTCAACAGTCTCTGTTGCCAAATTTACGCAGTTTCTCAGCAATTCTCAGCATGAATTCAGACAACCTACCTTTCTGCCCACCTGCCTATATTTAGTAATATAGAGTGTGTGTGTATGTGATTAGACTGCTATCCAAACACTTTCATTGGGAGGATTGTAACCCAAATTCCTTCTTATTGTAATCAGTCATTGAGAGGTAGCTGCATTCTCACTCAGTGATAATCTCTCAGCCTGCTGAACTGCTTACAGAATCCAAAACCTGTTCCCATACTGGAGGGGAAGGCGGAGGAGGACAGGTTAGGACACTTTGTAAAAGAAAACAAGCAAACAAATGTAAGGTGATATGTTAAGACATATCGTTTGTAGGTATTTTTATTCTATAGCCTGCACTCACTTATAATGCAGTTTAAAATAAATAAATATATGTGTCTGTAGAAGCCAAGCAGGTTAATTCAGAACACAATCTGATCTTTTTCTGTAGGAAAAAGAGAAAAAAGTACTGCAAGAGCTATTTATCGCTCAGTTCTCCGAGCTTGCAATAACAAATGTAGGGCTTGCTTGGATCATTGGGCTTGTTATACCCAATTATAACCATAACGGTCCCCTGCTACTGATCTCACAGACTTTAATAAAACCTTAATAATAAAGACTTTCTTATTAGTAGAACTTTAGAGGGACATTATAGGCACCTAAACAACTTTAGCTTAATGAAGCAGTTTTGATGTATAGATCATGCCCCTGCAGTCTCATTGCACAAATATCTGCCATTTAGGAGTTAAATCACTTTTTTTTATATGGCCCAAGCCACACCTACCTGCATGTAGCTTGCACTGCTTTCTTAAACACTTCCTATAAAGAGGGATCTGATGTTTACACTTCCTTTATTGCACATTTGTTTAATTTAGAATTTCTTATCTCTTACTCTATTAATAGCTTGCTAGACCTTCCAGGAGCCTCCTGTGTGCAATTAAAGTTCAATTTAAAGAGTAGGAGATAAAAACTTCTAAGGCAAGTTAATGTCTGAAAGTGACAATTTTTCTATGGAGACTGTGTGAGTCATACCCAAAAATACAGAAAAAACTGAAGCATATGTGTTTTAACTCCTAAATGGCAGAGAATTGAGCAGTGAGACTGCATGGACATGACCTATACACCATAACTGCTTCATTAAGCTAAACTTGTTTTGCCTTTTAGCTGAAAGCAGCAAGGTGAATTGTTAGTTAAGGGCTCACCGAGGAAGTTTGCCAATGACGTGGCAGATGAGCTTACACTAATTTCCAGTTATTTAAATGTACATAGAGATTTGAGATAGTTCTCTAATAAAAAATTTTTTGTTTTGTTTCATCCCCTGATGTTGTTAAAGAATAAAAGGTTACTTTTAATGAGTAGCTCTATATTAATTAAAGAAAAAAAAAATGAGTTTGCGTTACTTTAAGATTTATCCAATTTTACATTTGTTTTTTGGAAAAACTCCACTCATGGTGATAATGTGCACCGGCCACTCCGAATGCTGATACTTGAAAGGGAATCGTATTTTATCCCTACACTATACAAGCCAGACTGCGAAAAGACACAAAGAATAAAAGTTACTTAGGTGATTATCATACTGACTTTGTTAATGTTTGCCATGATGGGATATCTTTAAATAATCTGTATCTGCTACAATGTACCTCTGTAGTAATAATGATAATATATGGGTTCTTTCCTTAGACCAGAAGAGAGATCTATTTAAAAAGAACACAACAAGGTCCATTTTCAGGTATACAATATTAAAAGGCTAGAAACATATGGACAAAATAAGGAAATGTATTTTACAAAGTACGGTGAAAGTACGTTACAAACTCCCAGCAGGTGTGCTACGTCTAGCAGTTAAAGAGTTAATGGCCATTTGACAGCTTTTGTCTAACAGCTGATTTTTTCCCCCAATTGTATTTTCTTGTAATTTGAGGCTGAGCAACAGCCAGTGATAACTTCAAATAACCAGCCAAGGATTTTCTAAAGAAATGTTTTTATTATGTGCAATAATCTCATTTTACAAGGACTAATCTACTTTCAAATCCTAATTTAATCCTCTCTGATTCTGTGCGCATTACCCACCACATCTGGCGCTTGGCATTTGTTCAGGGGGCGCAACGTACCTTGTGCATGTTTAAAGGGACACTCCAGGCATGGCACATGGAGAAATGTAACTGACAGAACAACGTAAATAAGAAATAATCATACAAAATTCATTTCTGGGAGGAATTTGTGAACTATGCCACAAACCTGCAGAAAATGACACACTTTATGTAATTTTGATCCCCGTCTAAAATCCCCTTGTTTACTGCAAAAAGACAGTATTCCTCCACCCAATCAATGAGCACACGGGGGAACAATATTCTTATATCTCTTCGCTGCTAGTGCGTCTTATAATCCATGAAATGTTTTCACTTTACATTGGGGCCTTTTCTATCTCTACTGCTTTACCCAAGTCCAAAAGACGTCTGGCGTAAACATCACAAAAAATATTCAAGAGCAGCAGTTACCATGGAAACCACAGGACTGTACCTGCTGATTGCTCCACTCTGGGTCTCACACACAGACCACTAGACACAGATATTCAATAAAGTGTCGGAATTCTAACTAAATTTCTTATAATTTCAATAGCGGAAACATATCTGCCTTGAGGGATTTTTCCAATTCTGCTTTTTTTTTATCCTAAGATTTCACATTTTAGTAAGTTTCCCTGTTATGATTCAGGCACAAATGTACATTCCAAGGTATCTATAGTAACGGGAAAAAGAAAGTACACCCTCTACGAATTCTATGGTTTTACATATCAGAACATAATCACTGGTTCCTTAGCAGGTCTTAGAATGAGATAAATAGAGCAATCACATGACATATTGCCCAGTGATTTAACAAAAATAAAGCAACAAGAGCAACAGAGCTCCACAGCAATAATACTTCCAGTAATGTGTCTGAGTGTATAACAGAGCTCCACAGCAATAATACTCCCAGTACTGTGTCTGAGTGTATAACAGAACTCCACAGCAATAATACTCCCAGTAATGTGTCTGAGCTCCACAGCCATAATACTCCCAGTAATGTGTCTGAGTGTATAACAGAGCTCCACAGCAATAATACTCCCAGTACTGTGTCTGAGTGTATAACAGAGCTCCACAGCCATAATACTCCCAGTAATGTGTCTGATGTATAACAGAGCTCCACAGCAATAATACTCCCAGTACTGTGTCTGGGTGTATAACAGAACTCCACAGCAATAATACTCCCAGTAATGTGTCTGATGTATAACAGAGCTCCACAGCCATAATACTCCCAGTAATGTGTCTGAGTGTATAACAGAGCTCCACAGCAATAATACTCCCAGTACTGTGTCTGAGTGTATAACAGAACTCCACAGCAATAATACTCCCAGTAATGTGTCTGATGTATAACAGAGCTCCACAGCCATAATACTCCCAGTAATGTGTCTGAGTGTATAACAGAGCTCCACAGCAATAATACTCCCAGTACTGTGTCTGAGTGTATAACAGAACTCCACAGCAATAATACTCCCAGTAATGTGTCTGATGTATAACAGAGCTCCACAGCCATAATACTCCCAGTAATGTGTCTGATGTATAACAGAGCTCCACAGCAATAATACTCCCAGTAATGTGTCTGAGTGTATAACAGAGCTCCACAGCAATAATACTTCCAGTAATGTGTCTGAGTGTATAACAGAGCTCCACAGCAATAATACTCCCAGTAATGTCTGAGTGTGTAACAGAGCTCCACAGCAATAATACTCCCAGTAATGTGTCTGAGTGTATAACAGAGCTCCACAGCAATAATACTCCCAGTAATATATCTGAGTGTATAACAGACCTCCACAGCAATAATACTCCCAGTTATGTGTCTGACTGTATAACAGAGCTCCACAGCAATAATACTCCCAGGAATGTGTATGAGTGTATAGCAGAGCTCCACAGCAATAATACTCCCAGTAATGTGTCTGAGTGTATAACAGAACTCCACAGCAATAATACTCCCAGGAATGTGTATGAGTGTATAGCAGAGCTCCACAGCAATAATACTCCCAGTAATGTGTCTGAGTGTATAACAGAACTCCACAGCAATAATACTCCCAGTAATGTGTCTGATGTATAACAGAGCTCCACAGCCATAATACTCCCAGTAATGTGTCTGATGTATAACAGAACTCCACAGCAATAATACTCCCAGTAATGTGTCTGATGTATAACAGAGCTCCACAGCCATAATACTCCCAGTAATGTGTCTGATGTATAACAGAGCTCCCCAGCAATAATACTCCCAGTAATGTGTCTTTAAACTACAATAACTGTATTTAGAAATCAGTCTGTTTAGATAAGATACATTGTTCTTGTTCTAAATTACATTTTAGTTGCATAAATTTTTAGTCACCTTCTATGAACAGCCCCACCCTTGATCACACCCCCACTCACACCCGTAAAATGAAAGTGTCCCCCGGAGTTATATTGCTTTGAACTCTGTGAGCTCTGTATACTATGTAGCAGAGATAGGCGATGTGGGTGGGTTCCCTATAGCTGTAGTCCAGCATAGCTAATGTTTAACCCGTTGCTGATACTCTGTGACAGATATTACACTCGAGCTCCAAAGGTCTAGTTTGCTGTGTGTGGCTCCCAGGCTGTGTATTGGCTGCAGGGATATTGCATGTGTGGGACATAATACACGATCTTACTTCAGTCACTGATAAATGTCATTAATACTCAGAACAAGTCAGATCTTTGTTTTCTGAGCATAATATCCATTTAATGCATAATAACGTACTTCGAGTCAGATGGCTAGTTATAGCCCCATCACGTGACTGCCAGCATTCTCATCATGTGTGTCTCTTCCATCCACTGCCATCTCCCCCTTTTTTTTAATAATTACCAACATATGTGCTAGTTTGGAGTTTAATGATTCTCAGTAGAGGATGTGCACAGAGTGTATCTCACACAGTGCGGGTTTTAATATGGAGTGCATACTGCAGTTAGCGTAGAATTCAATGTGGGGTGATCACCTTGGGATTTTCCTATTGACAATTTATTTGGGGTTTATTTGCTAACCAGAATTATCAAGTAATAGAACATTTTAGGGCAAAATATTAAAATTGGCATTTTTTCCAGTTCGTTCTAGAATGAAAGGAGATCTATACCTAAATACATTGCGGATCCCCTTGTCCTATATGAACACTCAACCCAAACAGGCATTTTATTTGCTCAATGATGGGTATTATTACAAAATCTACAATAATCACAAGATTCTAAATCGGCAGCAAACGAATGGATCACATGATTCGTGGCAATCCACCACAGTTATCCCATTGATTATGCTGCTGAGAGAGAGAGACAGAGAGAGAGAACGAGAGAGAGAGATAGAGAGAGAGAGACAGAGAGAGACAGACAGAGAGAGAGAGAGAGACAGACAGAGAGAGAGAGACAGAGAGAGACAGAGAGAGACAGAGAGAGAACGAGAGAGACAGACAGAGAGAGAGAGAGACAGAGAGACAGACAGAGAGAGACAGCGAGAGAGAGACACACAGAGAGAGAAAATAGTATAAAAGGTAGCTGCACTCACGGTCTTCCATAAAAGCAAGTCTTTATTGAAGTCAAAGTTTAAAAAGTAGGATCAACTTTTCAGTCCTTTTCCAGGACTTTCATTAAGGATCAATGAAAAAGGACTGAAACGTTGATCCTATTTTTTAAACTTTGACTTCAATAAAGACTTGCTTTTATGGAAGACCGTGAGTGCAGCCACCTTTCTACTATTCTGGATATTTAAAAGCTCTGGCATTGCACCCGGCAATTTGATAAATATTAACACCTGTGTGAAAGGATTTCTAGTGATTTATATAAAATGGTCAAAGAGTCACTGTTGGTTGTTTTAAAGGAAACCAAAGCCCTTTCCTGGAAACGCAGCCATTATAATTTGAACCAAAGCCCCAGTCAGCTAACCTAGTATCTGAGCGATGGAGAGAATTACTGAAAGGGTTAACATGCTTAGCGCCTTCTGTCACACCTTTACCACCCTGGATGGGAGTGTGAAAACCACAATCCCTCTGCAGAGATACAGAGGGACAGAACTGAGAACTTAATAAATAAATAATTTCTCTACAAAGTGACGACCAGCACTGGAGCAAAGGTTGAAAAGGAGAGAAACATTCTGTGCTATGTTTGTGTTGCTAATTTAACCTTAATATGATTATACACATTGCTGAGATTTGCTATAGGAAGTAAGCAGATTATTTATGTGACTGATTCTAGATCCCATGGGGACAGCTGTACCAACAGATCTTGAAAAATCATTTTAGGTGAAAAAAAAAAAAGAAATGAATAACCAGCACTAATCTTTCCCAAACTTTAGATATTTTTGGCTACGTTTTGCAGTCCTGCTGAATTATCACAATCTATTGATCAAAGATTGAATCTGCTATTTATTAATTAAATCCTTTAGTCTTGCATCTAACAACAAATGTGCCAGAGAATCCTACTTGGGAAAGGCTTCCCTGACGCTGCACCAAGATGTTTCATAACAAATCATTGCTAGTGAACACCCCAGTATTTATCATGTGTGTCCAATTAAAGGCGTAAATAGAACAAGCCTGGCTGTACCATAGCTGTACCCTGGCTGTGCCATAGCTGTACCCTTGCTGTGCCATGGCTGTGCCATAGCTGTGCCATAGCTGTGCCCTGGCTGTACCCTGGCTGTGCCATAGCTGTACCTTAATACTGAGGAATTCTTCAGTCACTCATATCATGAATCCTGGTAACTTCAACAGAACAAACCAACTGTGTACAAAGTAGTACTATTAGTACTTAAAATTGCAGAAAGGACTTTGGCGTGACAACACAGTGACAGTGCTAAATAGCTCGCAATTAATGTTAAAAATCTGTATTTTGCATCACCTGTAATAGGACTTTCAGCGATCCTCATATACCTCACATGTCATAGGGCTGTCCAATTCAGAACTGGATAGATGAATGGATAGATGGATGGATGGATATATATATATACAGACACTCCTCACTTACCGACTGCTCTGGTGTGCTTGTCTATGTTCATGGAAATTTCCTCGAACATAAACGAACGCACCAGAGCAGGGAATCCCTCTAATCTCCACGACAGCTCGCACTTACCCCCACGCTAGAGAGCTGTTGTGAAACAGGTAGGTCGTATAATGAGGACCACCTGTATGCAAAATAATCCAGATCTCCTTTTTAAATGGGTACAGTGACATATCAGAGATAGAGTACAATATACACTCAGAGTGGGACCACAGGCTCAAAGAGGGAGTACACTGACAGTACAGGCTCAAGAAGGGAGTACACTGACAGTACAGGCTCAAGGAGGGAGTACACTGAGCACAAGATCATGGTGGATGTACACTGACAGCACAGGTTCATGAGTACAATGCCAGCACAAGATCATGTTGGGAGTACCCTGACAACACAGGTTCAGGGTAGGAGTACAATGACAGCACAGGCTCACGGTGGGAGTACATTAATAGTAGTGGTTTATTCAGGGGGTACATTGACACCACATGCTCAGGGTAAGAGTACATTAATAATAGAGTGTCATTGAGGGGGTATTCTGACAGCACAGGGTAGGAGTGCTTTAATAATATAGGTGCATTGAGGGGTACACTGACAGCATATAAATAGTAGAGGTTCATTAAGGGAGTACACTGACAGCACATTACTAGTAGAGGTGCATTGAGAGGGTACACTGACAGCACAGGCCCAGGGTATGAGTACATTAATAATATAGGTGTATTGAGGGGTACACTGACAGCATATAAATAGTAGAGGTTCATTAAGGGGGTACACTGACAGCACATTACTAGTAGAGGTGCATTGAAAGGGTACATTGACAGCGCAGGCCCAGGGTATGATTACATTAATAATATAGGTGCATTGAGGGGTACACTGACAGCATATAAATAGTAGAGGTTCATTAAGGGGGTACACTGACAGCACATTACTAGTAGAGGTGCATTGAGAGGGTACACTGACAGCGCAGGCCCAGGGTATGATTACATTAATAATATAGGTGCATTGAGGGTACACTGACAGCACATTACTAGTAGAGGTGCATTGAGAGGGTACACTGACAGCGCAGGCCCAGGGTATGAGTACATTAAGGGGTACACACACTGATAGGGTGAGAGCACACAGTCCGTATTTGCTCAGTATGGCATGCACTGGGAGGGAGTACCAGCACTAACCTGTGTGGCTCCTGCCACCTTCACAGCCGGGGCCCCAGACACACAGCTCCTGCTGAGGATGCGGAATGCCCCCTGGAGCCGGCCATGTACCAACCAGGCACCGTGCACTGCCATTGCCTGCGAGCAGTGTGCTTGGTGCCCTGTCAAGCTGTCTTCCCATAGCAGGCTGGGAGAGGGAGGAGGCTGAGTGAGCGAGAGGGAGGAGGGAGAACCAGCTGCAGAAAGTCCTGAAAGATCAATAAACCATCCTCAATTAACTTCCTGCACTTAAATCCTCAGACCCTTCTACTGCAAGAAACAGATGCTGTCCCTTTAAACTGTCCCTTTAAACTGTCCCTTTAATGTCCGTCACAGTCAATAAAAAGCAATTCTTCATCTAAATCTAACAGATATAATAATATTCTGCTGTCTATTACTATTCTTTATTATCACCGGCAAATAACACATTTTTCCTCTGCATACATTCAGATTCAGATTCAACTTTATTATCATTGTACCATGTACATGCAAGGGCAATGAAACACAGTTAGCCTCTTTTTAAAAATACTTTTTAAGCTGTATAGTAATACTTGATAATACAATCCCTAATACTGAAGAATTCAATCCTACTACATAGCTACAAATTACCAGCCTAAAAATACATAGACCTTATACAATAGTTATACATCGACACTAAACAATAGTTATACATTGACATTATACAATAGTTATACATCGACATTATACAATATTTATACATCAACCTTATACAATAGTTATACATTGACATTATACAATAGTTGTGGTCAGGGCATAAAGCCGTAGAATTAGTAATATAAGCAAACCGTGCATGGAACAAGTCAGTTGTTGTGTGCCGTAACTGACGAGGTAGTAGGCCTGAAATAAAAGAGGGCCTACCTTATGAATTATTTATAAAGGAGGTGTGGTGGGTGGGAGAAATCCCCAGACCTAAGACGGTACTGAGGGAAGGGCTGGTGCTCCTTAAGAAGGGGAACCAAGCCCCTCTCACAACTTCAGGCCCTGCCTTCCATTTGTGGTCAGGGCATAAAGCTGTAGAATTAGTAACATAAAACAAACAGTGCATGGAACAAGTCAGTTGTGGTGTGCCGTAACTGACGAGGTAGTAGGCCTGAAATAAAAGAGGGCAAAAAGATGTAACCAGTTTATTCAGCCTACAATACAACATAGAATATCACATAATCATATTTTTAAATGCAAGGCGCACTTCTTGTACAGGCTGAGGAATGTATCTGGTGTAAGCCGTGGACTTCCATTGGCCTAATATCTTAATGATGTGAGCCAGAATATTCCTTTTAGAAGCGGTAGTAGCTGCTCCTATTCTAAATGAATGACCAGAATAGTTGGCGGGGTTCAAACCCAAACGAACCAACAACATCCTTACATAGAGCATGAATTTGCTCGTAGTGAGCGTATTCCCGTGTAAGGCTAGCAGTGGTTGGGTTGGAGCCGAGGGAAACGCGGAGAGGTATTGATCGAACACTTCCACAGGGCACCATCTATTACCTGTGGGGTAGTAGGTAATAGTGACAATCTGACCCTTGGTACTTGTTTTCGTATGGTGTAGGGACAGTAAATAGTGATTGTGTGCTTTTACCTTGTGATAAAATTGGGGGTGCAGTAGTTGGAGGTGGTAAATTCTTTGGGCCGAAGGAAACCGTAGAAAGCTAAATAGATGGCTGTTTTAATAACCTGATTAGTGTGAGTTTCAAATGGTGAAGTGTCTAACAGGTTTGACAGTGACTGGAACAGGAGATAATCTGGATGGTGTGGGCGTAGGGGTGGAGTCCTTGATACCTTTAAGTAAAGCTTTAACTTGGTAAGATGACAGAAAGCGTTGTTTATTAGGCCAAGTAGTGAGGATGTGATGTTGAATACCTGTGATGTATAACTTAATAGTGTTGAATGAAAGTGTTAGGTGAAGGTGGCAAAAGGAAATGAACGCAATCATTGTTTCCATGGAAAACTGGCCTGTGATCTTGTAGTCAAGCAGAAACTTATTAAAGATATGAAAGGCCCTGCCGTATGCCTTCCTGGTGTTAACCGACAGACCCATGTGAGAGAGTTGCCGCCCGTGAGTGAGTAGTTCCGTTAGTCCCAAACCATCTCCTGCCACCGCGGTGCTGGAGTTGGTATCCGGGTAGCTGTTGGCAGTGCCGCCCGGAATTCCTGAAATTAAGACCGTGATAAATGGTCAGCAGTGATATTCAGAACCCTGGGAACATGTATGCACGTTAAGAAGAAACTGTGTTTTGCAGCTAGCCACGTGAGAGTCCTCATAAATCGCATGATGGCCAGGGAAGTGGAACGTCCCTTGTTTACAATATGGCATGTTGCCATGTTGTCCGAGAAGCAACGCACCGTATTCCCAGACCAGCAAGCACCCCATTTAACTGCTGCTGGCACGATCGGGTAGAGCTCAAATAACGCCGAGGTGTCTTTGAACTCGGGAATCTCCTTAATTTCCCTTGGCCATATACTCCACATCCATTCATTGCCAAAAATTGCGGCAAATCCCGAAGTGGCTGCTGCATCTGTCCATACAGATACCGACCTATCCTTCCATACTGGAATGAAAATGCTTTTTCCATTCCAGTGCAGCAAGAATTCCCTCCACATGTGTAGGTCAGCGGTAGCATGAATGTCTAATGTAATGCGTGAGGAATCAGATTGTAATAGGGGAAATAAGCTCAGCAATCGTGATATAAACGCTCTCCCTTGTGATATGATTTTCATTGCAAAGTTAAGAGAACCGAACAGGGATTGCAACTCCTTTCTATTACAAGAACCACCTGCTAGGTAATGGTCAATGGCAGAAAGGATACGTTCAATCTTTTCCCCGGGGAGGCTAGCCTGCATATGCACAGAGTCCAGTACCACCCCCAAGAAGTTAATGATTGTATCGGGACCTTCAGTCTTTGTGGGTGAAATAGGTACTCCAAGTTGTGAGAACAGTTGTTTTGTAGAAAGGAGACTACTGGGAGGTAGAAGGTTACTTTCTACGGATAAAAAAATCATCCAGATAATGGATAACGGTAGGGCATTTACATATGTTAAGCAGCATCCAGCACAACGTCTCAGCAAATATATCCTGAGGCTGCTCTTGGACCCAAATGTGAGACTCGTGAAAAAAATAATATGAATCATGCCACTTAACACCATGTAAATGCCATAGGGATGGATGGATAGGGAGTAACTTAAATGCGTTCACTATGTCCGTTTTACTCAGCCATGACCCCACTCCTGCCGAGAGGATGGCCGTGATGGCATGGTCTATGATTGCATATTGGAGAGAAAATTCCTCAGATGGTATAAGTGAGTTAAGACTTGGGTTAGGTGACGTGTGGGGAGCAGAGAGGTCCGGAATCAACCTTTGTTTATTGGAGGATTTACTTGTGACAATGGGGTTAGTTCTCCAAACCGCGAAAGGTGGGGAGTCGAAAGGTCCGATTAGAAACCCTTGGTCAATTTCTTTCTGTAGAAGTAGGTTAATTGTGTCTGGCGCTGCTTGGGCAGTCTGCAAGTTCTTACATTCTAGGATCCCAGCATAGGCGTGCGCAGCCTATTGCATTAGGGTGTGCACCCTAAAGCACAAACACACGCCGCGCGTGTGTGTGTGTGTGTATATATATATATATATATATATATACACACACACACTCTCACAGACACACACACACTCACAGACACACACACACACTCACAGACACACACTGACACACACACACACACTCACAGACACTCATACACTCACAGACACACACAGACACACACTCACACACTGACACACACACTCACAGACACACACACACTCACACTGACACATACTCACACACTCACAGACACACACACACTGACACATACTCACACACTCAGACACACTGACACATACTCACACACTCACAGACACACACTCACACTGACACATAATCACACACTCACAGAAACACACACTGACACATACTCACACACTCACACTCACACTGACACATACTCACACACTCACAGAAACACACACTGACACATACTCACAGACACACACTCACACTGACACATACTCACACACTCACAGAAACACACACTGACACATACTCACACACTCACAGAAACACACACTGACACATACTCACACACTCACAGAAACACACACTGACACATACTCACACACTCACAGACACACACTCACACTGACACACTACTCACACACTCACACTGACATACTCACACACTCACAGACACACACTCACACTGACACATACTCACACACTCACAGACACACTGACACACACACACACAAATTATTATATTTTAATTTTAAAAAAAAAATGTCCACCCAGCCTCCTACCTGGAGTGCTGGTGGACTTTTCCCTGGGGTCCAGTGGGGGCGGGCGCCTTTCCGCAGTTCAGCCGCGGCGAGGGAGCTCTCTGCTGTCTGCTCCCTCTCGCCGCGCGGGCTGTCTGCTGCAGCTGGGAGCCGGAATATGACGTCATATTCCGGCTCCCGGCATCAGCGCGCGGCGAGAGGGAGCAGACAGCAGAGAGCTCCCTCGCCGCGGCTGAACTGCAGGGTGGGTGGAATCATCACCTCTTGCCCTCCCATGACAGGGGCAAGAGGTAAAACAGGGGACACTGAGTGCCTGCAGGAACGCTGTTCCTGCAGGACTCCAACCATAGGCGTGCCACGGGGATTAGGGTGTGCCCAGGCACACCCGGCACACCCCGTGCGCACGCCTATGGATCCCAGTAGGCATGTGCACAATACCAGTGTGAAACCCCAAAGTGAACCCTTCCACCAGAAAATCTACGAGATGTTGCGATGGGTGATCACACAATAACTCTTTCAGCAGGGAGACATTAAGAGACAAAAGGGATATGATTTATTCGGACACATGACCTTAGAGTGAGCCCTGAAGCATTGGGAGCAGACATGCAGTAGTCTGCATGCACTGTAGCCGCAAGTGCCTGTGTTAAAATTATTACAAATTTGAGATTTCCCTAAAAACACAATATCACGTCCTAGTTTATCCTTCAGTACCCTGCCTGTTCTCCCAGTGGGCATCATGTTTGTAGGGGGAAATAGAGCATTCACCTCTGGGGAGTTAGGGCACAAATTTGCCGTGTGTGAGTTGGACGCACAAATGGCACAAGCTGGGGTTTTTAGGCCCGCAAAGTGTCGTCAAAAAAAGCTCCGTATCAAGCACCCCCCAATCCGCTTGATGATTAAACTGGGATAGAGCAGACAACGCCTTTGCGGAAAAAGCACGGTGGTAGTCGTAAAAAGACGTGTCACCGTACTCGTGCCCCAAATCCACCAGCTTGTGGAGATAGAGATCCAACTCTTCCCTCCTATCAGGATATACGGAGCATATCACGTCTCTATATATCCCAAAAGCCAACACAAATTCGGGTATGGATAGCTTGCGATTCAATCCAGGGTCCCTAGATTTTAACACTACAGACACGTCCCCATATGCATAAGTTTTATTTTCAAGGACATCTTGAGAAGCAATGAGAAGTGATACTAGATTGATATCCTTCCCTTCCAAGATGTCCTTCTTGATACTAGCAGGCACCATGTGTGCCGGATTAATAATATGCGGGTCTTTCATACCCGTTGGAACATTACCAGTTAGGTGATCTGGGCGAACCATAGCGACCGGATGCCCTAGTTCTGAGGATGACCGTTGCTGGCTATCTGCATCCATCTTATCAAGTTTGGCCGTAATACGGCCCAATGAAGTCAGGACTGAAGATAACACATTATGTAGATCAGTCGACTGGGGCACTACCCGACTGGCTGATGTAACTAATGCCAAGCGGTGAAACTATTATGAAATAATGTGACGGGTGAGGCCCTGCTAGTTGCCAAGTGGCTTTGAGAGGCACTATCTATGATTTGGCTTGTGTGGGGTACGTGGCCATTAACATTATGGTGGGGTGTTGGGCTCTCTGTGACTTGTAAAGGCATAAGACAGAATGGGAGTGACAAGTGAGGCCCTCTCTATGCAACCAAGCTACCTATGAATTGGCCCGAGGGAATGTCGTACCTCCGAAATGAGGATGGGTGTTGGCCTCGCGGGACCACTAACGTAAGGCTTAGAAGGCCAGAAACTTACCTAGAGGCTCCTGTTCTTAAATGCCAGTATGGCCCTGTACTAGGAACCCGAAAGGGTAGGAAAGATGGGAAAAATGTTAAGAAATCATGACGTACCTGCGGAGCAATTTGCAAGGTAGTAGTAAGAGGTGAAACAGGCGTTCTGTAGTAACCTATAAAAGGAATAGTGAGTTTCCAGGTTTATGATAATATGCAACCCTCCTACCCCCCTGCTAACCGGATACCTACCGATATATTCCAACCGTAGGGGACTGGAACCAAATACCCCAAAGGAGTAAGGATGACTTAAACCTAGTAATACAGAAAAAATACACATAAGTACCCGGCCCTTGTGGGATGATGAGAGGTTAATAACTAAAGATTACTGACCTATACGAGGTGCAACGTTGGTATAGTAGCAGCACACTGTGGATGCTGTTGGGACTGAAAAAGGTCCAAAATTACTGACATGCACTAGATTCCTTAGCACCTAACTATATATGTCCTATAACAATTGCAGACACATGATACTCTTAGCTCTGGTACATATAGTGTATAGTGTATAGAAAGTTATTCCCTCTCTAGTAACCCTCTGTTGATTCATTCACAATTCAACATAGCTCATGAGTGCCCCATACTTAACAAGCCATACGACCCTACCAGAACCCCTATTTTCCAGTAGTAACTATCCTTATCCCTATGTGAAAATAAATTCCCAGCAGTAATAATTATTATGACCACCAGGGGTCAGTAAAAATAAAACAAAATAATGTAACTACAACTGCTGTAACCAATTCAGCCGCCAGAGGTCGCCCTAAACTGAAACCAATCACTAAAGCAATATAGTGTTCAGCAAACGAACGGTAAAGCAAGCTGTAATTAGAATCTACCGATAGCTGAATAATCCCACGAATTGTACAACGTTTTACCGAATGCATGGTAATGTAGATAGCCGATCATGTGAAATACAGTGCGCCCGTCGAACCCCCTTTGACGTCATCGGCCGCGCCGTTAGTGCAACGGCCTCAACTCATGTTTTTTTTTTGACAGGCTGTGAGCCTGGAAGCCCGATCTCATGTGTCTGCCTGAAAAGTCAGACAGCCGCGCTAGGAGCAGTTTGGACCTCCAGGAAGCTGCATCACGAGCTGAAGAATGAGAGACAGCTGTTTGGCCAGACCGGAAGTGACGACCACACGAAATCCCCAGACCTAAGACGGTACTGAGGGAAGGGCTGGTGCTCCTTAAGAAGGGGAACCAAGCCCCTCTCACAACTTCAGCCCCTGCCTTCCATTTATACATCGACATTATACAATAGTTATACATCGACACTATACAATAGTTATACATCAACATTATACAATAGTTATACATCGACACTATACAATAGTTATACATTGACATTGTAAAATAGTTATACATCGACATTGTACAATAGTTATACGTTGACATTATAAAATAGTTATACATTGACATTATACAATAGTGCCACCATAGAAAAATCCAACACACTACCCATAACCCCAACCAAAGTAAAATGAAATGTAACAACTGCCATTCAGTTAGTACTTAGTTAGTGCAAATAAATACCCAATCCTTAATAGTATATCTTAATCATTGGACATAAAAGTGCTTAATGTAAGCCGAAGGCCACATGCATCAAGTGCAAAATATAAGCACATAAAACGTGTGCAATATAAAAAAGTGCTATGAAAACATGTGCTATGTGCAAAAATACATTATGAATATAATGTGCAAAATGTGAACACGATCATATGCATAAAGGTGCAGAGCATGATCATATGTGCAATGAGCACATTCTTATTATATTTATACATATATATATATTATATTTATTCATTGATATATGTGTGCAGTGGACTGTTCTGGGAGATTTTAGGAAACTAAATGCTAATAATAATGACACAACTAAAATGTAACTGAGAACAATGTATCTTATCTCCCAGAACAGCCATATGGCGGCACAGGCAACCGTCTTAGGGCGCTAGATTTGAGGGACCGGCAGGAGGGAAGCACACAGTGCTCCCTCCTACAAGTCACTCAGTGTACCGTGGCCGAGCAGAGCGCACCATGGTACATGAGCTTCTGTTTCCTGTACCCGGCCGGACTGACAGGAAGTGTCACTCCGCTCGGCCACGCTGCAAGAAAGGTGATGAGGCACACCAGGGAGAGAGAGGAGCGGAACGCTAATGGGGAGGGGAGGAAAGGAACACTAAGTGACTGAGGGGAGCGCACTAAGGGACAGGGGAGGGAAGGGAAAAAGAACACTCAGGGGGATCGGGGACCACTAAAAGAGAGTGATGTAAGGGGTAGGAACACTAAGGGAGAAAGGGAGATGGGGAGGGACCACTAAGAGCCAGGGAAGAGGGAGGTGGGGACCACTTTGGGGGGGGGGACACTAAGGGACATGGAAGGGAGGGGGCAGGAGACGAATACTAAGGGACAGGGGAGGGAGGGGAGATTAATACTAAGGGACTGAGAAGGGAGATGAACACAAAGGGACAGGGAAAAGAGGAGAGAGTAACACTAACGGACAGGAATGGGAGAGGACCACTAAGGGGCAGGAAAGAGGAACACTAAGGGACGACATGGAGGGGAGGGGAGAGGAACACTAAGAGACATGGAGGTGAGAGTGACACACGTGGGGAGAAAGACACGAGTGGGACACGAGGGAGGGGGGAAGACACACAGATGAGCCTTGTGATGAGAAAGATGCACAGAGGGAATGGGGTGAAAGAGACACACAGAAAAGCCTGGGGTTTGAAAAACAAAAGGGCTGGGGGTAAAAGAGACACACAGTGGCTGGAGAAGAGGAAAAAGAGACACACAGAGACACACAGGGTCTGGGAGAGACAGATGGGCATGGGGTGAAAGAAACCCACAAAGGAACTGTGAAGAGTAAAACAAAAAGGGACTGCAAGAAAAGGGACACACAAAGGGGCTGGGGGAGTAAGACACACAAAGGGGGGTTGTAAGCAGGGATGTATTTACCACAAGGCAAACAAAGCAAATGCCTTGCTTGCCTTGTGTTCTGGGGCTGTCCACCTTACTGTGAGTGATTGAGTGTAGCTGTCAGTGTGTGTCTGTGAGTGAAAATGGGTGTGCCTGTGGGTGTTTGTAGTGTGTGTATGTAATTTTATGTGTATCTGAGAGTGTGTCAGTGAGTGGGTGTGTCAGTGTGTGTCTGTCAGTGAAAGTGTGTGTTGGTTAAACCTGTGTGTGCCAATGACTGTATGTGTGTGCCAATGACTGTGTAACTGTCAGTGAGTGTATATCAGTGCATTTATCAATGAGGGCATGTGTCTGTCAGTCAAAAAAGTGTCCTTGACATGAATTGGGGATCAAATTTAGATTTTGGGGGTGCCTGAATTTAGTTGTGCCTAGGGCAGCACCAATCCAGAATACACCACTGGTTGTAAGAGATAGACAAGGGATGTGTAAGACACACAATGGGGAAATATAGGGCATACGATACAATAAAGGGGGTATGACATTTAAAAGAGGGGATAAGACACAAAAGGGGGGTTAAGAGGCACACAGGTGAAGATGATGTTTTTTATTGGGGGGGAGCGGGGGCTGCAAAATCATCTTCGTCTGTGTACCCAAAAATCCTTGCACCGGCCCTGATCTTATTTACACAGATTAAACGGTATTTGTACTCTAAAGTTAGTTTAGGTGCGTCCAGCCAGCGCTAGAACTGGTGCAGGGTATAATCCCTAACTAACATGTATCTATGGGGCCAGAACGTCTAGTGAGCGTTAAATATTAGATACACAAAGCAAGAAATTACATTACAGTTCCCATTGTAGCAACATCTAATCCCTGTTAATATCACAGCCCATAAAGTCTCTGGTAACAAAAAGACAATGTGAGAATAAAACGTATCTTCCTATTCAAACACTTTATTAATTATGCTATTGGGAGATAACTGGTCACCAAATGGTTCTTACATCTTAAGTACAGCCTGAAATGAATATAATGTGTTTTACTGCTATTTCTTTATTATCAGTAATTGAACCTCACAGAAATCCAGGACAGATTCTATTCCCGATCAAGAATTAGTAACTAATAGAAATAAACAGTTATAAACAGTAAACATGTATCTGGCCCTGTAGATACTACGGACTAGAATTTTCTACACATACTAATTTTATTTACACAGACTGATTTCTATATACATTTATTGTAGTTTAAAGACACATTACTGGGAGTATTATTGCTGTGGAGCTCTGTTATACACTCAGACACCTTACTGGGAGTATTATTGCTGTGGAGCTCTGTTATACACTCAGATACATTACTGGGAGTATTATTGCTGTGGAGCTCTGTTATACACTCAGACACATTACTGGGAGTATTATTGCTGTGGAGCTCTGTTATACACTCAGACACATTACTGGGAGTATTATTGCTGTGGAGCTCTGTTATACACTCAGACACATTACTGGGAGTATTATTGCTGTGGAGCTCTGTTATACACTCAGACACATTACTGGGAGTATTATTGCTGTGGAGCTCTGTTATACACTCAGACACATTACTGGGAGTATTATTGCTGTGGAGCTCTGTTATACACTCAGACACGTTACTGGGAGTATTATTACTGTGGAGCTCTGTTATCCACTCAGACACATTACTGGGAGTATTATTGCTGTGGAAATCTGTTATACATTCAGACACCCCAACAATTTGGAGCTTCTAGAAAACAGGGACATTAGGATAGAAAAGAGGGACAGAGGGATTTGGGCCCAAAATAGGGACTGTTCCTCCTAAATATGGGCACTTGGGAGGTATGGTATTATTGCCATTTATATATGGCCTCCTTATCCCGCAGTGCTTCACAATATTATAAAGAATTTAACAATTTAGCTATTACAAGTTTTGACAAGGCCGAGCAGTTGATGAAGATCTTACAGGAAGGAGCTTACAATCTAGAGGAGCTCTGTGCGGATTCTGTGGCATTGAAAGGGTTAATACATACCCTGATATAATAAGAATGTATAAGGAGGAGAAATATTTAATTTGTCGCTGATGATAAAGAATAGTAACAGACAGCAGAATGATATATGTTCGCCTGAGACGAAGACTTGCTTTATATTGACTGTGAGGGACGTTAAAGGGATAGTACCTGAAGGGGCTGAGGATTTCAGATAACTAGACATGGTTTATTGACCTTTCAGGACTTTCTGCAGGCTCTACCCCCCCTCCCCCAGCCTGCACATGTCTTATTGAGGGATATGGGAACTCCTCTAACAGGGAAGCACTGAGGGACACACACTGCTCTCAGCTTGGTGATCTAGTGGCCACGCATGTGAGCCTGGGGTACCAAAAGCCACTCTCAGCCTGGACCTGCCACAAGCAGCTGTCACAGAGCAGCCAATCAGCATCCATGCTCTGCACGGCATGCCGGAAAATGTAGTCCATTAGCTGTCTGTTGAATTATGTGCAGAATGTTTGGGAATTGGCTTTAGCTCCCTCTGCTGGCAGCTGGCTGCATGACACTCACCTTTACAGGGTTATTCAATAAAGTAAAACAATGCTGGGAATTCAAAGTTACTTTTTAAATTAACCCCTTAAGGACACAGCTTCAGAAGCTTATCTTACCCTTGAGGACAAAGGCCATTTTTTAAAATTTTTGCTGTTTGTGTTCAAATGCAATTTGCATATCTCTGTCATTTATTGCACCAACACATATTATACATCGTTTTTTAGAGGGCAAACAGGGCTTTAATTTAATATCACATATACAAAGATACATTCTCATTAATTATAAAAAAAAAAAAAAATGTTTTTCACAGTTTTGGCAATAGTAGCGCCTGCATAATACATCCAGCTTAGAAAAAGTAATTCAAAATAAATTCATTTATGTGTCTTGATTTATAGAGTACATCATATGTATATGATTTCAGCTTATTTTAAAAGTTACAGGTCACAGAATACAAGGACTAAAATAAAATTCCAATGTGCAACAATTTTATAATTTGGTATGTTTGTCTTGTATTTTAGTATCCATCACAGAAAAAAAAAAGAATGTGTAGCGGAACGCCAATATTAAATCCACGAATTCCGCTGGTTCAGGAAATAATCCACCGTCAAGCGCTGAAACAACAAGGCAATATCCCCAACCTCCCAGTAACCGGACGAGACACAGTTCTGAGAGTCAACTGAAATCCTTTAATTCGGCTGCACAATTTATACAAGTCCCCATGCAAGGGGTTTCCTGAGTCCCTTCCCAGGGGCACTCCCAGAGGGGACTACATGGGGACTTACATTACAGCATATTTCTC